TGATGTACATTCTTTGCTCATTTTAAATTTGTTGGTATTTAGGAAGCCATGAATTTTTGTTCCAGTGGTAATCTTTGTATTAATGTTTTATGCTTCCCTTAATCCTCTCTTTTCTTGCTTAACTTTTCACTATGTGGTCTTTCCATTTTGAATGGTGTCTTTGTATTCCCACAGACGCAGCAGTCTAGAATCTCTCTCTGCCTCCTCTCGCGTTTCCTCCCATTTTTTAGTTGCATTCATTCTGCTTTTTCAGAACACAGAGCGTTTATGCATGAATCTTTGACCCAGGGTCCCACCCTAGTTTTAACCTTCACGCTACAGTTGAAATGCATGAAATGTTCGCTCACAGCCCTTTCCTGAACAGTGCCTGCCTTAGGGGAAGCTCATGCTACAGTCGGTTCTTCAGGAAGGGCACGTGTGTGCTGCATTCCTGCACATTTAAAGCTGGGTTTTCTTTCTTTCTTTTTTTCTGTAGTTTTGATATTTGAAGGACAGTTTGGTTCAGTATAACATCCTTGGATTTCTTCCGTGAGGTTCTTGAGAACACTGCTCCACTATTGCCTTGCTGTGTATGTTACTTATTTTTTGTTGTGTTGATATATACATATATATATATAATTTTAATAATTCATGAGTGTACAGTTCAGTGGCATTGAATACATTCACAATGTTGTGTATCCACCACCACTGACACCTAAAATGTTTTCATTATCTTCTCCAAAAACCCTGTGCCTGTTAAACAGTAACTCTCCCTGCCCCCTCCCTCCAGCCCCTGGTCCACTCCATGCTGTTTTCCGTCTGCATGAATTCTCCTGTTCCAGGTCCCTCATTTAGTATAGTCGTTTTTAAAAAGTCTCCTATCAGTCCAATTCTCATGCCTTTAGAGGTTATTTCACAGTTTTGCCTGGAGGCCCCGATCATTTTCTATCTGTAAGATCTAATAGCTTTACCAGGCTGTATCTTAGAGCTGATTACTCAACGTCAAGTCTACACAGTTCCCAGTGAGCCTTTTCGATGCGTGGGTCTAACCCGGGGTGTCCGACCTGGGGCCCACGGGCCGCATGTGGCCCAGGACGGCCGTGGATGCAGCCCAACACAAAATCGTAAATTTTCTTAAAACATGATGAAACGTTTTTGTGATTGTGTGTTGCAATGTATTTAATGTGTGGCCCAAGACAACTCTTCTTCTTCCAGTGTGGCCCAGAGACGCCGACAGATTGGACACCCCTGGTGCATCTTTTATTTCTGGGGAGTCATCTTGGATTAGTTTCCAACGTCAGCCCTTCGCCTGCCTTCCACTTCAACCCCTTTCTCTCTGACCGTTCGACTTCTTCATCTAAGCTTCGTTCTCTCGGCTGGTTTCCTGCTTCCCATCACTGTCCTTTATTAAGTTTCTTTTGAAGCCATTCCCTTGGGTACCTTTTCATCTTCCGGTAGGATACAATATGATTTTGTTATTTTATACTCTGAGATCAGTCCTCATTTAATTAAATCATCCTTTTTTGGGTCTTTTTCTGTTGTTAGCTTTTGCATTTCTGAGATGAGGTGTTTTTTCCATATCCCCAAATGCTTATTTGAGGGTATTTGATTCAGTTTGGAGTGCTGTGTGACAATTTTCTTCAGCTTTACGCTTGACTTCGGAGGAAAAATCTTTATCACTTGAAATGCTCTGAATTGCACTTTGCTAACAGGGGTTTTGAATGCACGTGATCTGCCTGTCCCTGGTCATGCTCATTCCCAGACAAGACTCCCCATGCAAGTGCGCCCTCTGCTGTCCATCCTGCTGTCCTTCAGGAGAGGTGCGGAGTGAAAGTTGGCATTTATTTCTCATTTGTGTTTTAGAATTCCTTAAGAAGGGATTTTATTTATTTTTAGACACAAAGAAAGAGAGAGAGAAAGAGAGGGAGAGAAACATTGGTTGGTTGCTTCTTCCATGCCCCCAACTGGGGATCTGGACCACAACCCAGGCTTGTGCCCCGACTGGGAACTGGACCAGAAACTTTCAGTCTGTAGCCAGCACTTAACCCACAGAGCCACACCAGCCAGGGCTCACTGTGGTTTTAAATATATTGTTCATATTATTAGTAAGAATATATTTTCAAAGTTTGTCTTTTGTCTTTCTGTATTTTTTCTTCTCTGAATAGTCTGTTTAAATATTTTGCTCTTTTTTTGCCTATTGTTGTTTTTTAGTACTTTCTGGATCATTAGTTATGAATGTTGCATTTTATTCTCCCCCAATCTGCCACTTGTCTTTTAACTTTACTTAATCTTATTTATTTTTAAGCATCTTTAAAAAAATTTAAATTTATTTTTAGAGAGAAGGGAAGGGTGGGATAAAGAGAAACATCAGTGCGTGGTTGCCTCTTGCACGCCCCCTAGTGGGGAATCTGGCCTGCAGCTCAGGCATGTGCACTGACTGGGAACCAAATCCATGACTGTTTGGTTTGCAGGCCGGTGCTTAATCCACTGAGCCACACTAGCCAGGGCTCATATGCTTGTTTTTAAAAGATTTTATTTACTTTTAGACAGAGGGGAAGGGAGGGAGGAAGAGAGAGGGAAACATCAGTGTGTGGTTGCCTCTCACATGCCCACCACGGGGGACCCAGCCCACAATCCAGGCACATGCCCTGACTGGGAATCAAACCAGCGACCCCTTGGCTCTCAGGCCACCACTAAATCCACTGAGCCATATCAGCCAGGGCTCATTTGTTTTTTTAGAGACAACTTTGCCCACGCAAAGTTATAAACACATTCTGTAATAAACTGTGGGGGGAAAGTAGAGTTACAGTTGTGAGTACACAAAACACAGTTTATTCTTGTATTATTATGTATTATCACATTATTTCCCATGTGAACTGCAAACTTACTTTTGCCCCACCCTGTATTTTAAACTTTTGTGGTTTTTACATACGTAGGCCCCTAGTACACGTGGAACTTACTGTCGTGAGCAGCGTGTGTGAGAATTGTGTGAGGGAAGCAGGCTCTAGATTTGTCCCCCAGGTGGTCATCCTGACAGCGCTTATTAAATGGTTCTCCATTTCCCAGCTGGCTCAAAGGGCTTCCTCGAGCCCATCCAAATTCCCGCGTACACACACAACTGGTTCTGGCTCTCTAGTCCATTCCAGTTGTTCGGCTTCTCTATCCTCCCTCAGCACCACACTGTATCATTATTCACTACAGCTTTACATGTTGACAGAGCCAGCTCCGTCACTGTTCTCTTGCAAAACCGTCTTGGCCACTGCACACACTTCCCCTTCCATGTGAGTCGGTTTTTCGAGTTCCATGAAAAATTATCTTGGAATTTTGGTCGAGTGTACACTGAAATTATAGACTAAAATTTGGGGAAAATTGGCATCTTTTGTTCTAACGAACCTTTCCGTCTACGACCAGTGCATTCATCTGCCTTTACTCGGGTCTCTTTAACGTTCTGCAGTCAAGTTTTGTAGTTTTCTTGGTAAAGGCCTTGCCCATGGCTCAGTGGGGTTATTATTGTACGAGATTCTTCAGCATTTAAAACCTTCTCTAATCTCTTCCTTCCGCAGCTCCTCAACCCTCACATTGAGCCTCTGCTGAACCCTTTTTACACAATGGTCCTTATAGGTCGCATTCACTTCCCAGGGACGCTCAGGTTGCATCCTGCAAGAGTATCCATTCCTTAACTGCTGGGTAAACCCCTAAGGGCCGGGCTAGAGTTTTCATTCCTGCCGGGGGAGTGGCCTGCATCGAGCTGGTGGGGAGGGTCTAATGATAACGGAGGAGGAGGAGGGGAAAGGGGGTGGGGTGAGGGCAGGGGTGGCCCAGGGTTCAGAGCAGGGTAGTGGAAGAAGCTTGTTGGCTTGGTCACAGGGAAACCGGAGTGCCAGGGAGACGTACCTCTGCAGGAGAATGATGCCTCTCCTGCATCTTCAGCCTGTGTGTGTGTGTCTGTGTGTGTGAGAGAGAGGGAAAGAGCTGGTCATGTCTGCCCCCTCCCCGCATCACTGTTGCTTAGCAGCCTCTCCCGTATTCCCAAGCAGCTTGCTCTCAGCTCCCAGGGTTCAGAACCCTGCCCTGCCACTATTCCCCTGTGATCCAGGTGGAAAAATTGCTGTGAGCCTTCCAGGGGACGCAGCACACAGCCTGACTCACTGCAGGCATGCAATACATGGAAGCTTTAAAAAAATCCGTATTTTCATTCATTCATCAGCAAGAGTGTGTGAACATTCCACTCTGAAGGACAGGCAGGAAAGGGCTTCGACTGTTTAAAGTGTAGAAAGGAGGCTGGAGGTGCAGAGGGGGCGCCGGGGCGGGGCACACCGGGCAGGGCCCAGGTCGTGTGCGAGGGAGAGAGCACTGGGGAGCTGGTGAAGGCGGGGCGACGTGATCTTTGAACAGGCTGCTCTCCTGTTGTGTCAGCGAGCCAGGCTCCGGGTGCTGTGCCACGGCAGCCCTGGCGCTCACTTACTCTGGTGGGGGAGGGAAGCCTGCGTGAGCCCACCTGCTCTGGGCTGCAGGTCGGAAAAGGCTTCCTGGGGGAGGTAATGCTGAGCCGGGCACTGACGCTGGACAGGAGTTTATCAAATAGAGAAGCCAGGGAAGAGCATTCTAAGCAGAGGGAGGAACGTACTCGGAATCCTGCAGGAGGCCAGACGGGTGTCAGGAACACCCCCTTGGACTTCTTTGAATTTCCTGCTCTGGCCGCCCTTCCCACGCATCTGAGGCCTGCACACCCACTGCTGACGTCCTTGGCTCCAAGATAACGGAATAATAATTCTTACCCAGAAGCCCCTTGGGCCCTGGTGGTGACATGCATCATTCTCACCAGCAGGGGGCGGTCACACAACCGTGTCTTGAAGGAAGGGTGGCCGGATGGGCTCAGGCAGAGTAACCTGGCATTTGTCAGGACCTGAGGCTTCTGGGGAGGAGGTGCAGCTGGCCCTGATGACACAGGGCAGGGGGTGCCCTCCCATAGCCCCACAGGTCACATACCACCCTGAGAAGACACACTCAGTCACAAGGCCCTAGGTACAAGTACTTTATTTCAATTACAATAGTGCCACACCAAAACTACAGTAGCACAAAACATAGTAATACAAAAAATAGATTCCCAGCTCTAAACCCCACGTCCAGGTACCCGCAGAGAAGCCAGCCTAATGGCTCCCTGGGACTACGGGGAGGGGTCTCCCTGACCCCGTGGACTAGGTCCTCCTGCTCGTGCTGTGCCCCCTGCAGCACACCAGGAAGCAGGGAGTGCAAGCCACCTGCCCTGTGGCTGGACCCTCGGCCCTAGCACACTGGCTGGGGGCCCCGGTCCACGGCACCGCCAGACACTCTCAAGGACTGTGACCCACGGGGGAGGCGGGAGGGCAGGGAAGGTGCCAGCACTGGGGAAGCCTCCTCTTTGGGGCAAGGTGCCGGTGGCGGGCTCCTGACTCTGGCTCCCGGTCTGGGTCCTGCCCTACCTCTCCTGCGAGGAGCTCCCGGGCCTGCTGCTTGTTCAGACCAGGGAGCCCACTCCCCACGCTGCCACCCCCGCTCTGGGGCTGATCTGAAGGTGGGCGAGGCAGTGGCTGAGCCGTTGCTTCTCTTGGGCAACGCAGGCGCCTGTCTGTGGGAGCGGGCTGGCCAGGCAGCCTGGGCTGCCGAGACAGGAGAACTGTGGCGGCACCTGCTGCCCCCGCCTCAGCCCCAGGTGGCTGCTTGCCCAGAGAGCCGGAGTGGGGCTCCAGTTAGCTCCTCCTGGGGGACCTTCTGAACTGTGGCCTCAAGGAGGGGATGACGTTCCTGGTCCTGGACACCACAGGCCGGGCTGACTGGCTCAGGGGAGTGCCTCCCTCACAGCCAGCCAGGGCTGAAGGTGCTTCCCAGGGAGAGGAGCCCATCTGGCTGCACGCACTGTGTTGATTCAACCCCAGGGGCTGAGGGTGGGAGGGAGCTTGGGGCACATTCAGGGGTCCCTCAGACCCCTGGCCTTGGTGCCTCCGGTGGGCAGGCTGGGCTCCTGCGCTGCAAGAGAGGCCGCTCTGTGGGCGCTGGGAGTAGGGGTGTGGCCCGATGTTCCAGTCAGGGCACTTGGGGGCTTCACTGAGGAGGCAAAGGGCCGCTGGGGGTGAGGGGCCACCTCCTTGGGGTGGTGCGCAGCCTCAGGTAAGGCACTAGAGAACAGAGGGGGGATGGCTGCGGTCCGGGAGCCAGGCCCAGGCTGGGGGTGGGGTGCTGCAGAGAAGGAACAGCCCCCCAGGACAGGTGTGGGGTGGCCAGAAGAGGAGGAACACAAAGAGTACAGGCGAGTACATCTGATGGGGAGGTTTCAGCCTCACAGGGCTCTGTGGTCCAGATCTGGGGGGGCTGGGGCACCCCAGACCGGGTGTGAGGACCCTGACCTGGCCTCAGGCTGCTACAGCCATCCGTCCCCTTCTGCCACTTTGAAGATCAGACCTTCCTTGCTGGGGCTCCCAGTGCTGGACTCTGGGGACAGAGGCGGGGATGCCGAGAGGGGCGGTGCCAATGAGCTGGTCTCCCAGAGCGGGCCCCTCCTCCGCCCAGCCTCCACGCCTTCCCTCTCCTCCCCAGGCGATGGAGGCCGACACGGTGTATTCCAAGGGCGGAGGCGGCTCTCTATTTGGGGACCCGGTCAGCGGGCATCGCTGCCTCGGCTCAACCTTGCGGCGAGTGAGGAAGGGGGGGGTAACTCAGTGGGGCTTCCCTTGTCCACAGGTTATTTAGAAAAACAGAACATAATAAATATACCAATCCTTTCCTTAAAAAAAAAGAAGTGTTTTAAATGCATTATTTCCCTGAAGGTTTCCAGTGTATTCCACCATGTTTAAAAAATAGTTCCCCGAAAAATATATATATATATTTAGAGTATTCGACACAGTGGTACTTGTGGTGTATCTGGCACTGGATGTGGGCGTGGGGCTTGTCCACGGCCCTTGTCAGCGTGGGGCCTAGGCCTGGTGAGCCGGCAGCCGGACACCCAAATGCCCTTTAGAGTCGACATGCGCGTGCCTGGGATGACAGGGTTTCCCCAGGGGATCAAACCTCAGGTTATGCTGAGAACCCACGTGACAGGCTCCGTTCCCGGCTGAAAACCCTCCAGTGCGGGGTAGGGGGGCCCTGGGTGGCCAAGGGGGCTGGGTGGCACCCCGGGCACTGGTCGGAGGGGGCAGCCTTGTTGACTCCACCCGAGGGCTCATCCTCAGCCCCTCCCCCTCCTCCGTCTCGGCTCCTGGGGCCTCGGCCCTCACCAGACTTCACACTTGTGACGGGGGTTCATGGGTGAGCCAGGCGGGCAGTGGAAGTGTTCCGAGAACTCCTTGGAGTTGGAGACGGAGCCGATGACCCGGAAGCGGGAGGGGCTGTGGGGGTCCGTGATGAGGCCTTCGTGGGTGCTCTCGGGCGTGCGGACGGAGCACCAGACCTTTGTGGAGGCAACGAGGGAGACGCCAGGTCACCGGGGGGTCGTGAGACGGCCAGACTGGCCCTGTGCCCAACAGCAGAAGAGTGAGCCCCCCCCCACCCACCTGGTGCTAGGACCTCTGGGGGGGAGTCAGGAGGGCCTGCCGCGTGGATCAGAAAGAAACAGTGGGCTGGTGGGTGCCCACTACCCTCAACTGCAGCTGCCTGCAACTGTGCTCCTGCGGCCAGAGCAGCGCCTATCGGTCCCGGGCACCGGTGCTAGATTTCATCTCAGCGAAGGGGGTGGCCCCCAAACTGCGCTGAGGACCTCAGACCGAGTCCCCATCCCTCACTTCCCGGGCAGAACAACCATCGAACGCCTCGGCAGCTCTGAGCACCAATAGAAGGCTATACGCTGAATGCCAGCTCCAAGGACGACCTGGGGCATGCTGAGTTGAGGAAGTTTCTGGAACCCCAGAACCCTCAGGGATCACCTTGTCCTGTCATCTACTCGATGCAGGACCCCTTTAACGCACCCTTGGCCCTTCTGCGAGTCTCTCCGCTCAGAGGGGGCTCGCCCTCCCCCAGGGCAGCTGCCCCGGGACGGCCCAGTGAGCTGGGAGGGTCTCGGTTGAGGGGACCGTGCCTTCTGGCTTCCAGAGCTCCGGGCTCAGCAAGAGGGCAGGGTGTGCCCGAGGCTGGCTTCTCCCCAGCGAACTCACCTGTGCAAACCCCAGGAAGAAGAGCTGGTTGTTGGTGAGACCCAGGGCGGGCAGCGTCTGCTCGGCCCCGTTCTTCTTCACCCAGTTCTGGTAGGCCTGGGGGGGAGAGGACAGCGCTCAGGGCTCCCGGGGCAGAGGAGCACGCAGGGTGGTCGAGGAGGGGCTGGCGTGGGGCATCGCAGGGCGTTCTGCCCTGCAGAGCCGGGTTCTGGGGTCTGGGCGTCAGCTCTGACAGCCCAGCGCAGCCCAGAGGAGCCACCTCCTTTACCTGCGCTCCTTCCAGAAGTAAGCGCGTTCAGCCCCATGGCTTTAAGTGCCATCTGTGTGCCGAGGGCTCTCCAATGCACACTTTGTACACTCAGCTGCCCCAGCTGGACCTCCAAGATGTGTCACCGACTTATTACAGCACAGAAAGGTTTTACACACACGTGCGCGTGCGCGCGCGCGCACACACACACACACACACTTTGCTATCACAGTACGTGGCACCTAGGTACTGAGGCCCAAACCCCAGAACTCCTCCGATTCTTCTCTTTCAGTCAAAGCAAACGCCCCAAATCTGACCACTTCGCACACTTCCCACTGCTCCATCCCACCTCCTGCCTGCACAGCCTCACAACCGCGTTCTCACTAGTCTCCCTGACTCACGCGGGTCCAACTCCAACCCTTCCTGAAACAGCAACGTGAGCCATCCTCGCAAAGCAGGGCGGGCAGGCTTTCTCCGTGCAGGGCCAGAGAGTAAGTGTGTCCAGCTCGGAGCATGACCGGTCCCTGCCGCCACCACTCAGTCCCGCCCCTGCAAGTGTGACAGCGGCCACAGACAACGTGGAAATGGATGGGCCTGGCTGGGTGCCCCCCAGTTTGTATTTGCAGAACCCAGCTGAGCGCTGGATCTGGCCGGCAGGCTGTGGGCTCACCAACCGTTTCAAAGGATACACTGAACCCCGTTCCCCTGCTTGAAAACCCCGCAGCAACTCTCACCTGACCCGGGACGAAACCCCAGCTCCTTGCTCTGGGCCGACCCCTCCCCCAACCTCCCGACTCATGCCAGCCGGCCATGCGCTCCCTCCACTCAGCCATCCTTCTTCCTGTCCTTGAACTTGTAGGTCTGTGTGTCCATCTCACGGCCCCTCTACTTACCCTTCTCTCCCAGCTTTCACTCCCTCTTCCTCATCATCTAGGTCTCCATTCAAATGTCGGCCCCTCCCTCCAGGAGGCCTCCCTGACCACCCTCCCCGCCAGTCCTTCGCTACGGTACCCCACCCGCAATGATCGCACTTGTTGCCATGTGTACGGCCTTTCTGTCCCCTCCCTGCCCTTCTAAAATCGTGCCTTCACGTGAGTGGGGCCCCTGTCTGTCTTGCCACAGAAACTCCCGTGTCCACACAGCGCGTGGTAGATGGAAGGTCGGCAGTACGTATAGTGCTCACTGACTAGTGAAAGTCATGCAGGTTACCGGATGTTTCTGGGCTCAGTTTCCGAGACCGCAGCTGCAGGTCGTGAGACCCGACTGGGCAAAGGCTGGGGCTGAGCCCAGAGCCGGGCGCATGGAAAGAGGCCTAAACAAGCGGCGCCTCTCCGTGTCTCTGCTCTGACTGTCACGGCGAGGAGGAAGCCGTGCCGCTCTCCGATGGACACGCAGTCCTTCCCTCCTGTGGCCTCTGTTGTCCCGCCCACCCAATTCTGCCACCATTTCCGAGTGCCACTCTGGATCAGGCCCTGGGCCCCGGCCGTCACATGTCACACCCCAGTGATTCGGGGATCAGGGGCTCAGCCAAGCACACGGAGGCTCGAGAAGGGCCGGGTGACTTGGTCCAGAGGCAGGACTCTGCCCCGCCACCCCCCCCCCCCCCCGGAACTGGCTCCATGACCAGTGTCCCTGCCGTCCCCTTCCGGGCCCACTGCTGCATAGGGAGGAGCAGGCGGGACTTCCGGTGGGTCCGGCCCAAGCCCTGTCCTGTGTCTCTCTGTCCAGCTGCCCTCAGGAGCAGAAAGCCATCTGTGTGCCAAGCTCCGTGCTGGGGGCTTTCACAGACACCCTCTCCGTTAGTCCCCACCACACCGCTTCCCAGATGAGCAAACAGAAGCTCACAGAGCGTCTGCGTCCTGCCCCAGCTTGTCTGTAATGACCCAGACCTGGGCCCGGACCGTACCGTGCGTGGGGAGCAGCCCTCTTACCCGATAGGCCGCCTTGAGGCCGCCGTTATCGGCGATGTTCTCCCCGAGGGTGTGCCGGCCGTTCACCGGCTCCCCGTTCACGCTGTAGTTGCCGTACTGCTCCACCATGCACTCCGTCTGCCGCTTGAAAGCCTCGACGGACGAGTTCTTCCACCAGGGCCGCAGGTTCCCATCCTTGTCATACTCCCGCCCTGCAGGGTCACAGGGAAGCATCAGGGCAAGGGCAAGAGGAGGCAGAAGACTGGGACCTGCTGCTGCTGACGGCACCCACCCTCCCAGTGAGGGACGGATGCATCCGTCTGCACCCATCCACCACCCAGCGCTCTGAGCGCTAGAGAGCAGGATGGGTTAGGCCATCTGGGTGGCGGTGGAGGGGATGGGGGAACATGATCCAGGCAAAGGACCAGCATGTCCAAAGTTTCAGTGGACTCACTGTCAAGGCTGCTAAGGGCCTCTGACCTTGAGCCCGAGACGCGTAAATGGAGCGGGTGGCAGCTGGGCCACAGCCTCCCAAGTCCCGGCTCCTTTTTGGCCTAGAGATCCCCAAGGCAAGACGCAATAGGGAGGATTCTGAACCTCAGCTGGGGAGGAGGCGGAGGACCTCAACTCCTCGACTGTGGCCAGAGTAGAGGAGTCTCTCCCGAGTAGTGGACAGGGATCGCTCCCACGTACCACGCACCCCAGAGGCTGGACACCTTCCAGGAGCAGGGGTGCCCACTGGGCCTCGGACACAGCCCTCACCGTCACCACGAGGCTGGGATCACCGCACCCCTTCTACAGACAGGAAGCCAGAGGCTTGGAGAGATGATGGGACTTGCTCAAGTGCACACAGTCGGAGGAGGCAGAGCCAGGACCTGAGCCCAGGTCCTCCTGTCTCAAGGCTAAGACTCTTCGAGTGGGGGGCGCAGAAGCAGACTCAGTGGGGCCAGGGAGCTGGTAGGCCCCATCTGAAGAGAACCCCAGGGGACCCATACCTTGGTCATCAAAAGCGTGAGTCAGCTCATGCCCCACGACGACACCGATGCCACCAAAATTTAAGGCCCTGGAGGGGAGGACACGAAGGTGAGTGAGGCCAGGAGCGGGGGAGCACTGCCTCCCAGGCCTGGAGACACGGCAGAGCCCCACAGGGCTCAGCGGGGACACGGCCGCAGCCTGAGCCCGAAGCCCGTCAGAAGCTGGGTGATCAGCTGCGGTCAGCCCGTGCCCACTGGACACCGAGCACTGTGCCAGATGCCCCGCAGAACGGACTGTCCCTGTGGTCACCTCAAAGGAGTTCAGCACGAGTAACCGACTCCACAAAGGAGCAAACCACGGCTTGGAGCGGTGCATTCAGTCTGCCCAAGGGCCACCCGGTCAGTAAAGGGAGGCCTGTGCGGACTTCCTTTCTGAGACAGCGCCCTCACCCTTCCCAACTCCCCGCCGCGACTGTTCTGAAACCCCGTTAGAGGTGCGCCCCCGTGTATCGGGCTCCTCCGAGACATCCCCCCAAGGTCCCACTGTGCAGGGGCTCCCAGAGCCAGGAGACCCTGCAGGGAAGCAGGGGGAGGGAGGATGTGCTCTCTCTGCAGCTTCTCTGAATGTCCCAAGCTCCTGGGTCCGCGGGGCAAAGGGCGCTCAGTGAGACTGCAGTCAGCTGTGGGCAGCAGGACCGGGATGGGGATCTGCTGAGGGAATGGCGGGGCGGGGGGGTTGCGGAGATGGGGCGGGAGTACCAGCAGCATCGTACTTGGGTGAAGAGCGGGTGTAGAACGGGGCCTGCAGGATTCCGGCCGGAAACACAATCTCGTTCTTGGTGGGCGAGTAGTACGCATTCACCATGGGGGGGGTCATGCTCCACCTGCAAGCAACACACCCGTGAGAAGGCGGGACGGCCTGGGCGGGGGGCAGTCGGGGCAGGCCCCTTGGAGGGTGTCGAGAGCCTTGAAAATGGGGACTCCCTCTGACTCCAGTCCCGCATGCACACGTGAGCACTGGGCCAACCATGGCAACGCTGTTTATGGGAGGGGACCCCGGAAAACCCTGGATGTCTACAAAGAAGGGCTCAGTTACCGTATTCTGCTGTGTATGACGTGCACCCGCATGTTTGGCCCAAACTTTCAGGAAAAAAATCTTCCACTTAAATTTTTTAGTTCAATGTATTTATTTTTTATATTTAGATACTTGGGCTTTTTTTGTATTATAAAGGAATTTTAGCATGTATTTTTGAACATATGGGAATTGTTATTGCTTTCTAGCATTGCACTTTCAATGCATAAGCATAAATAAGAGAATTAAAAGCATTTATATAGTTAAGGAATTAGTACAACCCATGTATAATGCGCATCCTTATTTTTCCCTCAAAAATTTGGGCAAAAAGGATGCACGTTATACACGGCAAAATACGGTAACTCTTGATGTCACACCGCACAATGGGACACCAAGGCTCTCACAAAGAGTGGGAGGGATGGTTGGTCATACAGAGAAAGTCATCACTGCCTCAGCTCCAAATGTGGCGGGCGGATCCCAGGGAGGGGCGGGGCATGTGACATTAATCCATTTTCACGATGACATTAAGGTGTGGTCCTTTCCCCTGCGTGGCGTTCACACAGCCGGTATAAAAGCCGTGGGCAGAACTGCTGTGGCCGGAGCGGGGTCACGGCACCCGCTGTTCTGGTGGCCACTGTGCTCTCCACTAGAAGGAGAACGTCACTTCCCCTGCAGAACGTCCCTGGTGATGCCACGTAACCGTGAACTGCGTCAGAGCTAGACCCCCGAGCGGGAGGCCTTCCGTGCTGGGCCACCGGACCGGCCGCCCGGCCGCATCAGCGCGTCCGGCTTTTCCTGGGAACACGGTCTGTCCTCGAGGGTGACCGGCAAACTGCGACAGTTCAGACACGTGCATTTGGCAGACGTGTTTCTCGAAAATGAACACAATGAGCTCGTCACCGCAAGGAAAACCATGGACACCATTAGTCACCAACGACAAAAACTCAAGTTAGATGTTTCAAGCAGCCACCACAGACGTCAGCGTCCCGATATTTAAAGCCCTTCCTCGGGGGGTCGGGGGTGGTGTCGAGAGACGTGGATTTGGGGAACATTGTACGATGGGAGCGGCACTACTGGGAAGACACATCAAACCCAGTGAGCCCGTTTGCCAAGGACCGGTGTGTGCCGTTAAAACTCCGCATGAGCACAACGGAGCGTGAGAAGTTCACGGACATAGTCTCTGACTCCACAGTGCAGTCAGCCTGGAAGAAGTCACCACGTGTCGAACTTCGGTTTAATGTCAATAAAGAACGTGCACTAGGCCCTGGCTGGCGTAGCTCAGTGGATTGAGCGCGGGCTGCGAACCAAAGTATCACAGGTTCAATTCCCAGCCAGGGTACATGCCTGGGTTGCAGGCCACAGCCCCCAGAAACTGCACATTGATGTTTCTCTCTCTCTCTCTCTTTCTCCCTCCCTTCCCTCTCTAAAAGTAAATAAATAAATCTTAAAAAAAAAGAAAAAAGAACGTGCACTAGTATCAGAGAAGACTGTTAAAGTATCTCCTGCCCTCTGATAACACATCTGTGCGAGATGAGGTTTTCTTTATACATTTCGAAACAAAACACTGCAACAGACTGACCATGACTCAGGGTTACACTGTACAAACAGACTGTACGTGACAAAGCGGCAGATCTGAGAACCCAGCGTCCCTCAGTCAAGCCAGACACTGAAGGAATGTGTAATACGTAAAACAATGCCTCTCTTTTCCTCGTTAAACATAAAATAGTTCTTTCTCATAACATGTGCGTATAAATTGATATAACCTTCATAAAAAAGCTCTCTGGGTCCAATAATTTTTAAAGAGTGTCGAAGGGCCCCTTGTGGTAACACAGTGTGGAAACACTTGGCCCTCGGGATTTGTCCGGGGTGAGGAGAAGGGCCGGTGAGGACTGGAGTGACACAGGAAGGACACTCTCTCGAGAGCTAGAGTCGCTCTGCCTCCTGCAGGTGAACCCCACAGGGATGAAGGAAGGGGTGCCCGAACCTGTGAAAGGATACTAAGAGCTTGAAAACATCCTATTTATACAAAAATAATCACAAATACATAGAAGATAACATTGAAACTTTAAAAGTTTTAACGTAATTAAAAAACCAGGTAAGTTCAGAACCTTGTGGCAGTACCTGTGCCATATTCTGGAGATAACAGACCACCTTCTTGTGCCTTTTAGGGGTCTCCCGGCTGTAGAAGGGAAACTTAGAGGACAGAGATGTCCAAACCCCTGTTGTCCACGAGGGGGCACCAGAGGCAAGGAGAAGTTGCTTTCCCCTTTCAGTAAGATTTATTCTGCAAAACGTTTTAGGCACCGAGGGAACTTAGTCTGAGAACTAGTACTGGGCTGACTGTATCTGAGTTTTCTGAGAAGACTATTAAAAAAAACAACAACAGATACCAGGTCTCACTCCAGATTATTTTGATTTAAGCCAGAAAGCTGCCTCTCTGAAAAAACTCCCCGAGACTCCGGATGTGCAGTGAGGTCGTTGGGGGCCGGGGGGGGGGGGGCTGCCCAGAATCCTCCCCAGGCCTCTGGGGGGACTGCCCTGAGGACCCACTGCTCCTGCTGGTGAGGAATCAGAGGACCCCCCTGAGACAAGGGCCTCCTCTGCGTGCCCCTCCCCAGCGGTGCTCACACTCGGCTGTCGGAGCAGCCCCAAGCGCTGGAGCTGGGACATAACGCCAGGCCTGCTGGGCTCCAGAGGCCGGGCCACTCTGCCCGCAGCCTGGTGCAGGGGGCACAGACTCGGCGGTCCCGGCCCCGGCCTGGGAGACACTGCCTTGACCCTTGGGCTCTTCATCTAAAAAGTGGGATGACAACAGTACCCCCTCAGAACACCCTCAGGACAGTCACTCCAGCACACGGTCAGGTCACGAGCCACAGGGGTGCGCTCGGCCCAGAGCAGCCCCCACGCCCACAGCTAGCACCTGCCCACGAGGCCCAGACTCACTGGTCTCTGTTGGGAGCTTTCCGGAGCTGGTCGGCCGTGACCCTCCAGGAGAAGTTGAAAAAGCGCATGGCGTTCTCGAAGTAGAGGTCCGGGACCGCCGTGTACTGGACGAGAGAGCACAGTCACAGGGTCAGTGCTCGCCCCATGGGGGAGGCGCCTCGGATCTGCAAGGCCAAGCCCTGCTTCTGAAGCTGAGGAAAGTGAGGGCCCTCGAGGTTATGGGGGTGGTTCGCAGTCAGAGGCTGGACTGGGGGGCTGGGGGCTGCGGGTTCGGGCCCTTCCCTCAGGCCTCCCCTGCGGGGGCCTGGCGCCCTCTCCCCATCAGGGGCACAGAGAGCTTCCCCCAGGGCCTCGGACACCCAGCAGCATCCCAGGTCCTGCAGCAGCGCACGGGCTCGGGCGGGAAGGCTCTGCAGCGCAGGCCACAGAACTCGCTGCGGTCACAGACGTGTTCCATGTCCGTGCCGTTCAGAATGGCAGATGTTGGCCGCATGTGGGTGCCGAGCATCTCAGATGTGCCTAGCTGGCTTTTAATTTCATTTTAATTAACCAGTCATTTTTGGCGAGTAGCGACCGTACTGGACAGCACAGATCTCATAAATCGAGTGGGTCTACCTCTGACACGCCAGGGGACGGGCATTACTACACATCTTCCTCACCCCGCAGCCCAGCCTTCCAGCTCTTTTCAGGTGCAAGGGTCTCCCACGGGCCCCTGCAGAGCTTCCCGCCCTCAAGACACGCAGGACTCCGGCCCTGCGGGTTGTTGTCAGAACGCCCCAGTCTTCTGCCATGACACCCTGGAGCATCTTACACTATCCTCCTCAAGGAGAAAGGCTTCGGAATGAGCCTCACCTTCTCAACAGGGATTTTAATATCCTTAGGACTTAAATATAACTGTGATGAGAGGTTATTGTAATTGCAAAACTGCCTGACTTTATGAATTTCAACCACAAAAGAATACAAAAATTTACCTTTTGGGACAGAAGCACAAGCCGTTTAAAGGAGGGATTTGCCAAAAGTCCTAACTACCAGGGAGATCCACCGACTACTCCTGTTGCCTCAGGGGAGTCTCAACTTGCATCTGAGATTTATGCTTCCTCTTTCTTGTCAGCTTTACAGGGCCAAAGCCGGGGTCCGGGCTTCTCTGAGAAAGCGGGGAGGACCCCGGGATAGGCAGTAACTCGGGCTGGAGGGAGGTATGAGGGGCTCCACGCTCTCCTGCGTCCACTGGTGTTTTAGGGGCGCCAGTGCTCTCGGCGCCTTCTGGAGTCTGCCTCCCCCCTCTGTTTCCCCCTCACTATGTCACATCTGGGGGCACGTGGCGTTGTTCTGGGACTAACCGCTGGTGGCTACAGGGAGGTGGGGGTCTCTGGCCGGCCAGGGGACAAGGGAGCAAGGGACAGCTTTCTCGCGCCTGCTCCGTCCCCGGTGCCCACACCCCACCCTCTCAAGGTGTCTTGACAATCAGGGTGTCTCCTCCAGTGTCCCATCGGGACCCTGCCCGCCTCTCCCTTTCCCCAGCGGGGAGCCGCAGGGGCACTTGGGTGGGAACCACTCACGTCGTTGAACACTTTGTCGAGCTCCTTGGGGTCCATGATGAAGTTGGGGTAGCCTATCATGTTGTAGATTGCGTCTGCCTGGATGGGGAGACAGAGGACAGTGAGGGCGCAGCAGTGGTCTGCGGGCGTCCAGCCAGGGTCCGGGCCAAGCCCCTCCCACCCCAGGGCTTTCTTATGTATTTCTGGAAAGACTCCTCTCTCGTCTAAATTCTACTTATCCCTTGGGTATCTCTTAAATGCCACTTCCTAAGGGAAGCCTGCCCTGGTCACCACCCCACCAGACGACACCAGACCCTTCATTCTCCACCAGACTTGTCTCCCTTGCACACTCAGCGTGGTTCGTTCTCACACGCAGTAATGCAATCGTGTGCTCAGGGCTGGCCCTCCACCCCCTGAAGGCAGGACGGCATGTGGATACGGCCTCTGCCCTTCACCCACCCTCCTCGTCCTGAGGATGCCCCCCCCCCCAACCCCACCGCCAGGAAGCCTCAGCCATGCCCTTCAAGCACCCGGCGCGCCTCACCTTCTCCTTGGCTGACTTCCGCGTGTCTTCGTCCATCCACTTCAGGGTGCTCAGGCTTTCCTCAAACGCCTTCTTGATCTCCAGGATTATCTCGCTGGCCTGAGGAGACAGAGGCCGGACGTGAAGGGTGGGGCAGTGGATGGGAAGCCCACGCCGGAGGATGTCACCAGGCCAAAGACTGAACTCAGACCTGGGCTCAAAGCCTCAGGCTCCTAGGTGCTGGGCTGCAGAGGTGGGGGGGCTGGTGCACAGCCTGTTCCCTGACCTTGCTCCGCAGAGCATGAATGTCCCGTAAGATAAGACTAGACTGCCATAAACTGGGCTCCGTGGCCAAATCCAGTTGGGGCAAGCTTTGAGGATGCCAGAGACGTCTCTGCGGCAGGACCTTCCGGGGCCTGCGAGGTGGACCCTGCGCTACAGTTCTTTTCGGAGAGGGCTGGAACACGCAGCCTTCGCCGGGCCTGCTGGACCCCAGGCTCCCTTGTGCTGGGATGGGCTTTAACACCGAGGGAACTCGCGTTCTGAGGAACAGTTTCAGAAATGTTCTGCTCGGGCTGGAGAGCAATGGCCGTCCTCAAGGGCAATGTCACAGGCGGACCTGGCAGCTAAAGGTGCTGGAGCAGGGAAGGTGGAGCTCCGCAGCAGGAAGAGCGGAGGCACTGACGCCGGCAGAACTGGACTCGGGTTCCGCGTCAGCCTCTCACGGGCAAGTCAGGTCACTGGTTTGGGGCCCCGCCTGCTAACCTTTGGCTGCAGATAATACCTATACATTTAATATTTGTCATACAAACTGTAACACCAATAACACAGCGCCTCTTACTGAACCCTTACTCCGTGCCGGGTGCTTTTACGTGTAGGGTCCCATTCATCTCCCCCGTGCGATGGACACCCCACCCCCACGTTGCAGGTGAGGCGAGAATATTGTCCCCTCTGCCCGTCTAGAACAAACCTGTCACCCATGGAGTGAAGAAAAACATCACACTCGAGGCCAGAATTGTTGCCCTGTCAACATTATCTCGCTGGGACCTTCACGGCCTTGGAATTGGAGGCGGCTGGACCGCGGTAAGGGTTAAATGAGATAACACGGCCAAAGGGCCTGACGCTCAGTAAGAGCGTCTGTCGTGAGTGAGTCTCCTTATTCAAGGCTTTGGAAGACCAGACCTTGGTGTTAAGGCAGGAGCCCTGGGCCGGAGCAGAGAGGTCCGGACAGACCAGAGCGTGAACTGCCAAGGTCACGGGGTCCATCGGTGGCGTGACGTCACAGCCTGCGTGCACGGGGAGGCACTTACTATGCTCTTGCTGTCCTCGGCGAAGGTCTCTTTGACGAACATGGGGCCCAGGGCGAAGCCCAGGTTGTTTTCCGTGTCGCTCACGCAGAACTTCCAGCGGGGAAGACAGGTCTGCAAACGGGAGTGGGAGGGGTTACTGGGGCCCACCGGCCTCCTTCCCGACCTCGGCTCATCTGGGAGGAGGCACCAGGCGGGGCCCCTGCTTCCTGCCAGAGCTTCAAGGAGACCTTTGCTGACCCAGGGGAAGTCATTTGAGACACTGGACCCAGAGGCTATGGAACACGCCTCATCACGGCCATCTACTGCTTCCTGAACGCAGGCTCCGGGCACAGCACTTCACAGATGGCTTCCTGTCGGCCATGCACATGAGCCCAAGGGCACAGCTGACGAGCCCTTGCAGACCAAGACACAGACCCTGGGCACGGAGAGTCTCTGGCCTGGAGTCCCACGGTGACGGCACGGTGACGGCACAGTGATGGTGCGCCGCCATGCCCAACCCACACCCCGCACTCCCACCCGCACCCTGTCCTACCTCCTGGAGGGGGCTGAGCACCCTGGGCACAAAGAACCTTGGGAAGTTCCCTCGTCTGCCCCGAGCCACAGGAGAGCCTTTCTAGGAGGCCAGGACCCCAGCCGCACTGAGAAAGCTCCCCAGAGAAAGAACAGTCACCGAGACTCGGGGAGACTCTGAGGCGTCCCTCTGTCCTCGGTCTCGCCTACAAGCTCACCAGCCTACGGGACACTTCTGTGCGGGTGGAGACAAGCCCCGCTGGGGCTTCGGCCTCAGGGGGCCCAGCTCGCAGGAACACCTGCGCTGGTTTCCCCCGCCCGCTCCCCTGCCCAGCAGCCCCGGGGGCGGTCCGTGCGACCACGAGTGGGGGCCCCGCCTCCACAAATCCCTCTGCTCAGAGGAAGCCGAGTCTGAACCCTGGACGACGGGGGAGGGGGGGGGTAAAAACCACCCAGGCTCAGGCGGCCTGTTTTCTTAACTGCAAACAGCCCAAACTCGCATTAGCAGGCAGATGGATAAACAAAATGTGGCATTTTTATACAACAGCACCCTGCTTGGCATCAAGAGGGAACGAACCGCTGATACATACAACACGGATGCGTTTCCCAGACACGCTGAGCAGAAGCAGCCAGACCCAGACGGGCAACTAGCATATGATCCTGTCGACACCCATCTGCACCCGCCTGGGGGTGTGGGGTGGGGGGCCCACGGGCAAGGGGCACAGAGAGCTTTCTGTTCACAGGATGCTGAATAAACGGGGGGGGGGTAGTTACCTGGGAGATATCATTTGCCAAAACTCAGTGAGCTGTGTACTTCATGTATGTATTGTCTTGTGTGTAAATTATACCTGAGTTAAAAAAACTCCTCTGCCCTGGCTGATGCGGCTCAGTGGATTAAGTGCTGGCTTGTGAACTGAAAGGTCGCCAGTTTGATTCCCAGTCAGGGCTCAGGCCTGGGTTGAGGGCCAGGTCCCCAGTTGGGGGCATGCGAGAGGCAACCAATTCCACATCGATGTTTCTCTCTCTCTCTCTCTCTCTCTCCTTTTTGAAAGGGGATTAAAAGAAACCCCTCCAGGGAAGAAGGAAGAAAGGCACTCTAACCTTCCCTAAGCTTAGTTGCTCAAGTTCTTTTAAGCTTTTCTGTCCAGGTGGACAGCTGGACGTCTCTCCTCTTCCCCCAGCCCCACGCACCCTTCCCCAGGGGTAAAGCGCCCAGCTGGACACAGGCCGCACCTGGACCTGGCTGAGGCTGACCCCACAGGAGGTCAGGCCCAGGGAGTTTCCTGGGGGGAGGGGAAGGGAGGGCCGCGGAGCCCCAGGACTCTGAAAGAAAGTAGGTGGAGGCCCTGTGGTCTGGGGCCTGGAGGACGTAACGTCGGCGAACACCTGCGTCCTAGTCACCACGAGCGTTTCGTGTTTATGGGGAGGCAGCGGTACTGGGGGCCCAGTACCCCTGTGTAAAAGGGGGGTGATGATGCAGCCACCTCGCAGAGGATGTGAGGGCCATGTGAGTTACACAGGAAAGCGGTGATCATCGTCACCACTGAGAAGGAGTCGGAAGGGAGAAAACAGAGGCTCCCTGTTGCTGTAAGTCAGCTAAATCACTCAGACTCCTCCTTATTCTTCAAGACCTGAGGCAACCGCCTCCTCCTGGCAGCTTCTGTCCACTCTCCCCACCCCCGGCTGGCTCGCGTCCCCTCCTGTGTGCGCAGGGACACTTGGGCAGAGCCCTCCAGTGGCCCTCTTCATTCTCTGCTCACTCTCTGCCTCCCTCACGAATCCCATGGCGCTGCAGGGTACCGTGGCCACGCCACCCCCAACCCAAGGTCTGGCACACAGTAGGCACTCAACATTATATACAGGAGTCCGCCGCAACAGGCTCACCTTCTTGGTCCCATACATGACTTCCATGAACTTCTCGTCGGCATCCTGAAAGCGCTGATCCAGGAAGGTGCTTGTCTTCCGCACCAGGTTCCAGATCATGTAGTTGTTCAGCAGGCTGGGGCAAAGGGAGACGAGACAGGCTGGGAACGTCACAGCACTTCTCCCACTGGCCTCTAGGGGGCGCGCAGGCCCACTGTTCTGATCCCAGGTGCTCTTCTCACACCTGTCTCAGTTTGTCTAGTACTGTTCTCTAAGCACATGGGCTGTCCCTTCCTCAAGGGCGCAGCCTGGGTCTTCTGTTGAAAAGCCCTCGGTGCCCAGTGCAGTGATTTTCACACACAAGGGCTCAGGGAGTTACTTGTTGCTAGCTTCAAACTGGAACCAACAGGGGAAGGGGCAAGCGAGCGTGCATTTTCTCAGTGGAATACTATGCAGCAATGAAAAATGAGGTCTGCAGAGGGTTTGGGATGGCATGCAGAAAATGCCTATGATGAAAGTCAAGAGAAAAGCGGACTATACATCTAGTCACAATGATGGGGAGGGAGAAGGAACCTTGTTTTAGAAGTCCACCTCTCTCTCTCTCTCTCTCTCTCTCTCTCTCACACACACACACACATGCATGCTTTCTCTCTCCACTTAGGCACACTCACACACACACATCCTATAAGATCAACAGTAGTGTTTTCAGCCATTATAATTTTTTCTGTAGTTTTCAAAAACTACAAATCTTTAAAACTAAAAAAGAACACCATAAATATTGACTAGAAATACTAGCTAACATTTCCTGAGTCCCATCCCACATCGAGACACTGTACTGAACGCTTTTCATGGATTATTTCACTGAAGTCCCACAACAACCCCCCGTGGTAGGTGCTGCCTGCGTTCCCATTTTACGGATGTGGAAGGCAAGCCCGAGAAAGGGCAAGAAACGCGCTCAAGGCTACAGAGCTGGTGGTGGAGGAGCTGGGATTTGCACCTGCGCCCATAACCACGTTGCCCTGCTGCCTCTCATAAGAGCCAGCTCCGGCGCCCATTTTCCTGAGTCCGTGTGCCATCGCTCGGCCCCCCCGCCACCTGAGAACAGGGCATCGCGCAGCTGCCCTCGGGAGGTCCACCCCAGGCCGCCCCTACCTACCACTTGTCGGTGTTGTTGATGAGCGTGGAGACCTGGCTGAGGTACTCCTTGTCGTAGACGACGATGGGCTCGGACTCATTGATCTCCACGGGGTAGAAGATGGTGTTGAGGAAGGGCAGCCAGTTGATGGCGGGCGCCAGGGTCTGGAAGAGAAGAGAACGGCGTGACAGGGCTCAGAGCCCAGGGCCCAGGGCGGTCTCCCGAAGAAGACGTCACCGTGCCTCCCCCCTCGGCCAGAGCCCGGAGCTGGGGGCTGTCCGACTGCGCACCCGGCGGGTGTCAAACAGAGGCCGGCAGACTCCCGTCCTCAGAGACGCCGTGCACAGAATTCTTCTTCTGAAGACACGGCCACGCAATATTCTATTGACGGAGCTCTCTGGAACGTGTCAAAGTGCGCATGGCTAACGGAACTCTCCATATTAAACTGTCGCTCAGCGTGACAAATTCCTAACCAAAAAATATCTTCCTGGAGGGAATCAACACGCGAACACTTTATTTAGGTGGTAAGTTTCAGGTTACAAATATGAGATCGATACCCAATAATACGGTACTTCTGGTTTGATGGAAAACAACGGTGTCACGCTCAGCACCTTGGTTTAGGAGAGAGAGAACGAGCGGCGGTGTCACAGAGGGAAGCACACAGGATTCTAAGGAGCCAAAACTTGAACTTGAAACGGAAAAAGGATGGGGTGAAGGTGACACCGCAGCGGAGCGAGAGGCTGTGCTGGTCGGCCCCCCCCCCCATGCCAGGTGCCATGGCCACAGCCCACACAGCCCTTGGCCGGTCCCCGGGACGAGCCTGGGAGGCAGGCGCCGTCGCCTGCAGTTCACACGCAAAGAAGCGGGGCCTCAGACGGGCCTCGACGGACGGGCGTGTGGAGTCTGGAGCCCAGCTGCCTGGGTTCCTCCTCCACTCTCTCATCACAGGCTGTGTGACCCTGAGGCAGAGGGTGAACCCCGCTCTCTCATCACAGGCTGTGTGACCCTGAGGCAGAGGGTGAACCCCTCTGTGCCTTGGGATCTGGAAAGGGGGTCATCATAACAACGACATACACATCACAGGGTCGGCATGAGGATTAAACGAGTTAACACTGTCTGCTCGACCCCACAGGCACTTCTGTAACATCTATTAGCTCCTGTCTGACTGGTCCTCTTCTACACAACTGCTGAATTCAACAATGACAGCAGTTGAACGTGCCGGCAGTTTTGGTCCACAGGTGACTTTTCTCAGGCACGGTACCTGGAAAAGCAAGCGTGGAAGGACGACCTTCAGCAGGGAAGGAAAAGCCCTGAGCTCAGCCGGTGCCCCCACAGGGAGCTCGTCAGTGCTCCTTCACGAGAACTTGAACCGAGCCCTGGCCCAGGGGCCCCCTCCCCGCAGAGGCACAGTCCACCGTGCGTTCCTGTGCGCTTCTGGCAGGTGGCCCTTGCTCTCGGCCCGCCCTGCAGGCAGCCCCGCTGCTCAGAGGGAACTCCCGTCCGTCCATCCGCAGGGTCTCGGGCCACAGCCCGCACGTTCCCTTCCCGCCAGGCAGCCTCCAGCCATGCTGTGGGATCTCTCGAGGTGCCGAGGGTTGTTTTGTGAGCGTTTTGATCACAAAGTTACATGTCTTTTTAAAACTGTGGTAAAAACACACCTCTAAACTTGACCACCTTAACCCTTTTTAAGTGCGCAGTTCAGCAGCATGAAGCTCGTGCAGACCCTTACGCGACCGCCACGGCCACCTGCCCACAGATGGCATCTTGCAAACCTGGAACTCGGCGCCTGGGGAACAATAACCTCTCCAGCTCCGCCCACCCGGCCCCCGGAAACCAGGACTCCAGCCACCTCCTGTGAAGTGGGACCCGACGGTGTTCGTCCCTCTGTGGCGGACTTACTTCACTCAGCGCGCTGCCCTCGAGCAAAGTGGCAGAACTTGTGAACGGTCTGCTCCGGACCTATTTGTCCCGTGTGTCATTATCTTTAATTACTTTTTCGTCCTGTAATTCTACAGAATGCCAAGTTTTGGGGGACTACGTGTGTCATGCTATATATAGCACAAGCCCCTGCGTGTGTGAATCGCTTAGGATGGTCACTGGTGCTTAGCAAATACTCAGTCGGTTTTAGCCATGGCAATCGCTACTCAAGGTCTCCCAACAGCAGGCCTGGGCTTGTCCAATTCCAAATTCTGGTCCCCGTTCCCTTGAAAAATGGCAAAGACCAAGGAAGGTGAGAGATGCACTATAAAAAGCCTTCCCATGGTAAGTAAGGTCCAGTCGGTCTACAACATCAGCTCGATCTAACCTGTTGGTACCCACCTCTGATATCCTCAGCGACAGAGACAGCCATAAAAACCCTTCACTTAACAGACACTGAATTTGCAGATGAGCTTAAGTGACTTTCCTGAGGTCACACAGTTAACTAGTGACCGTGCAGGCCTAAGACCCAGGCGCACCCCTGTGTCTGGTTTTAAAGGGCAGCTCAGCTGCTGGGGAGCAAGCAAGGACCTCAGAGGACAGAGGAGGGCAGCTCCTGCAGGCAAGGGTTTGACCATGGGGGACGGGGGGTGGGGCGTTGGTCTGTATCCCCACCATGACCCAGTGCAGACTTCCCAGAGCAGGGAGTAATGTGCCTGTGCCGGGGGGGCCCTCCTGCAGTGGCTGCCCCGCCCTCGAGACAGACTGGGAAGGGCCCTGGACCGAACTGAGAAGACCTGGTCTTTCTCTAACACGGGGACAGCCGCCCCACCTCCCACTCCAGCGCTAGCTGCTCTGTGCCTCTCTGGACAGCTTGCTCAACAAGCCTGAGTTTCCTTTCTTCCCCGACAGGAGCCCCTTGAGCAGGCAACCTCTGGGGCTCCCTCTTCCCACTTCTGTGGCTGCCAAACTTGGAGGTGTTCAGGCGAGATGGTTCCAGACGGCTCAACACGTAGAGCCACCTGCCTGCATGGCCTGCTGGCAAAGACCCCTGGGAAACCGGCCGAGTTTACAGCAACGTCACTGCTTACACAGTTAACATGGACCGGGCACGGACATCAGGAGAAGATAAATCTTCATGTACTCAACACAGGCCTGTTCCATCAGGGCCGGCAGGTGGTCTGTGCAAGTAGATTCCCACAGCTCTGAGACAGGGTGTGTCGAACCCCAGGATTTTCACACTTCCAGTCTCTATCCCTTTAGAGAACGCCTCACTTAAACACGTGTGCCTGCGCCCGTCTCCAAGGAGGTGGCTGGTTTAACCAACGAGGACATTCCACTGTGACTCAAACCCTTGGGGCTCATGGAGGAGCTCTGTTTTCCATACCCGCAGCCAAAGGATCCTGCGGGACACCAGCCGACCAGCTCAAGGGGGCTTGCGAAGGGGGAGCGAGCAGGAGGAGGCCACCAGCTTTCATCTCAGCGGGAGAACTGAAAGGGGGGGCTCTTTCCCAAACACCTTTCGGTGCGGAAGGTCCTCGAAAGGGACGGGAGGGTCCTCAGGCGCCCAGAGAACTGTCTCCAGAAGGATGTCTGGGTTCAGTGCTCTGAACTGAGACTCTGCTGGGGGCTGGTCCGGAACCCCTGCGAGCCTACAGGCCCACTGTGGAGGCTGGAGCTCCACCAGGAGTACGGGAAGGAAACCAATGTCCAGGTACCAAGTCTCTGTGCAAGGGCGGAATGAATCAAATTAGTTTAGTGCTGGCGACGTGGGCTGGGATCACCAGTAACAGAGGCATAATACTAACAATAATTACTAAAATATATTTGAATTGCACATAATGTTTTGCAAAATGAAACCCCATCCTTTGCTTCCTCATAGCCTCTTGCAGCCCTGTGGGCAGGCCAGGCAGAGACTCGTATCCAGGAGACAGGCATCAGGGAACCAGAATGTCTTCAAATGTTGGACACAATGACTTTATATGTGTAAGTGCCCACTTATTTGGAGAGAGACTCCGCAGTTTTCAACCTGTTCTCAAAGGACTCTGTGACTTCACGTCGTGAGGGCAGGGGCTGCCTTGCACTCATCTCGGCCTGCCACACCACAGGGGTGAATGCAGGAGCAAAGCCTCACTGTACAAAGAAGGAAGCCAAGGCTCAAAGAAGGGGTTGTGTGATTTGCCCAAGGTCACACAGCTGGTGGGGGGGCTGGGCCAGAGCAGTCTCCTGACCCCGCTCAGGGCTCGCAGCACTCCAGGCTGCTGCCTCCGCAGAAGCCCGCCCCACCCGGAAAGCTAGGCGGCTGGAGGGAGGCTAGGACTTTCTTTTTTTTGCTCTTAAGGACGAACAAAAGCAATGGTGATAGGCTGCCCGGGGGTGGAACTTGATAGCCAGGCTGGGGCTGCTGTGCCCAGCACGACTCTGCCTTCTCTGCCCTTTCCGGGGTGGTCCATTGGCATCGTGGCCACTGTGGGGGGCTGAGGAACAACTGGGCCCCTCTCGAGCTGAGAACTGGGCAGCTGGAGCAAACCAAATTATGCTACACAAACAGCATCTCCTCGGGCCGGCCTCAGACTGGAAAAACAGTGCCAGATGGTGCCCGACGCAGGCTGCTGATTTTCCTGACAACCCACCCAGTGCCGCTCAGCCTGACGCCAGCTTCTCTGGGGGCCTGACAGGCAGACGGCACCCAGAAGGAGGCCAGGCTTTGTGTGGGCCGCACCTGCGCCTGGGACACCCAGTCTGGCTGGCTCCTGCTCGCCCACTCACCAGACTCACCTTCCCTGACTCTCAGAAAGGGAAGGAAGTGAGCCAAACTCTAACTAACGCATGGCAGGACTTGGCTGTTCAGAGTGTAGGGAGGAGACATTTTAGTTGCATCCCTACACAAGTGGCCTAGATATCCTCCCCAGGGGGAGCAAAGCCCAGGCAAGCATTCCTGGGTGATGGTAGGGGACAGGACGATTGGCTGAGGCCACTTTGCTGGTTGCTCTGTGACCCCGGGGGGCCTGGGATAAGGCTGGACACCAACACCCCATGAACTGGAAAGAAGGAACTTGGCAGGCCAACTCACGACCTGCAAGTCCCAAGCAGCCACCAGGGGGCAGCCTTGCGCAAAGGCTGAGCTATGGAGGGGACTCTGGTTCTCAGATGGGTTACACTGAGGACAAAAAGCCTCCCAGTTCTGCTCCAAACCTGGTTCCCAACTCCAGGAGGTCACTTGGGTCAAAGCAGGAGCAGAGCTTCAGTCAACCAAGCCCAGCTCCCCGGCCACTTAGGAGCCTCGTGGCCTTGACCATGTCCCCTAACCTCCTGGCTTAACAAAGGGTGAAGTGAGGACAGAACCCACCCCTGACATTTACTGTCTGCTGTGTACCCCCAGCTCGACGAGCTTGGTGCCAGAGAGACTGGGAGTGCCCAGCCAGTGGGAGGGGTCGTCATGACCCCCGAGTCTCCCCAGGCAGATGCTGGTTCAGACAGGCTGCTGGAGTAGGTAAGCCACTAGCTTCGGAGCCACCAGCTGCGCGGCCTTAGGCAGGTAACTCCACCTCTCCAGGCCTCAGTCACTTTCTCCATCTGGGAACCGGCTGTAACAACCAGTCCTGCTTCACAGGGGTGTGCCAGGATCTGGCAAATTGGGTGTTCAAGCCCCGCCTGGCACCCTACGTCCTGCAGCCCTGTGGCTGTCCCAGCTGGAGCGCTAGTTACCTGCAGCTCGGCTGCTGTCATCTTGTGGTAGATGAGCTCCTCGTCCCGGCGCTTCTCCTGGGGGATGGTGATGTTGGCCAGTGCCATCTCGAAGTCCAGGATCTGCTGCATCTGGGGCCGCACGGCGTCCTCGCCCCCTCCGCCCAGCAGCTTCCCCAGCTGGACCATGTAGTTCAGGTACCCCGTCAGCACCTGTGGGGCCCAGCACCCCCCATCTGTCAGTGGCTGCTGCTCATTGCCGACAGGACAAGGGTGGCAGGGTAGGGCAGGAAGGGAAGGGCTGGGTGCTCTACCCAGGAACCCAGTGGACACCGGCTTCTAGACTTGTGTCGGCAGTGAGCCAATTCATGGGCTTCCCAGGCCCTCGGGACAAAGACCAGAGGCCCGCAAGTGGACTGGCCCCTGTTATCCCGGTCCACGTCCCCTCCTGCATGCTGGTCCCATGAGAGCCACCAAGGGGGCATCTGTCAGATCCTGGAGCTCATTCTTACTGGGCTGTCCTCCTCTGGGCCCCCACGTCTGAATTAGGTCTCCAGGTTACTTTCTCAGCTCGTCCCTCACTTAATCACAATTTGTCATCGTGCCTCTGATTGGTGGTTAGTTTATTAGCATCTGTCCCGTACTAGGCCCTAAGCCCTAGGGGGCAGGGACCAGGCTGCCCGGGTCAGCACCATCTCCCCAGCATCAAGCGCTTAGTAGGCACCTGCTCAGTACAAGGGGCCAGGATGAACGGAGAGGACGAACCGCGGGTGCAGTCTGCTGGGGCATCATGGGGTGCAGTGCGGGGGTGGAGAGGCGTGGGTTTAGGGTGGGTGGATCTGGACGTGAATCTCAAGTCTCACCACCTACTGGCCAAGTGACCTTGAACAGGTCACTTCGCATCTCGGAGCCAAGGCCCGGCACCCACAAATGGCAATGGCTGTATCGCTGCATCTGTCCAGAATGGGGACAAAGGACACCTGTTCCCTGCCTATGGTGTGCCTGGTGCCTGAACGTGAAACAGCCTCACTCTGAAATGGGGACGCGTGACACCCTGCCCTGCCAGGGACTGTGTGTCCCTATCAGGTAAGTGACACTTCAGTGTCCCTCTGGCTTCAAAGACCTGCACAGGTGTGAACGCTCAGGGGACATGGGGGGCAGTGGCAACAACAAACCGTGGAGAGCAGCGGGCCGGGGGAGGAGCCACCACTGCCTTGAAGAAGCCCACTCACCTTCTCGTTTTCGGTTTTGTTCAGGTAGAAGTCCCTGGAGGGTAAGCCCAGGCCGGACTGGTCCACCTGGCGAGACAGGCGGGAGTGAGAGGGAACCCCATTGCGCAGGCACACGGGACGGCTGGCGCGGGGCCCCAGAGGGCCAGCTCGGGCCCCAGCAGGGGCACACCCCTGGATGTTCCCATACACGCAGGGCCACCCTCCTGCCCGTATCCGTGGTCGACCCCAGGGGCTCCAGGCCCTTCCGAAGGGTCAGACAGAGCCGCCCTCCTCCTCCGACGCCCCCAGGCCCAGCAGTGCGTCTCTGCTTCATGAAACGCCTCCCAGAATGGGGCGGTGGTTCAGAGCCACTCACAAGCTGTGCAACCTTGGTTAAGTTACTAAACCTGTCTGATCCTCAGGTTCTTCACTTGGGAAATAGGGAGGACACATGTAACCCTCAGGGCTGGAGGAGGATTCCAGGAGAAAGTGTTTGTGATGAGTGTGGGCGGGTGAGGGAACCAGTTCCCGATAGTCACTACCGGAGCTTCCGGCCACACCCCGTCGGACCTGGAGTGGGTGTTATTATAGTTCATTTGATTGATAAAGAAATTGTAGCTCAGAGAGGCTGAGGCACTTGCCCAAGGTCACACAGTGAGTGAGTGGCCAAGATGGGCGGCAGCTCAGCCTTCATGACCTCCAGCCTGGGACAGGCTCTGGCAGGAAGAGATGGACTCAGAGCCATTCCAAACGGAGCTACAAAGGCTGGAGGCTGGGGTGGGGGGACCGTGGCTCCCGTTGTGCCTAGGGGTTGACATCACTCCTGGATGCCGGTGACCAATCAGGACCCTGGAGACTCGTGGTTGCTGCAGTGACCTCGCCTGCCCCAGGAGGCAGCCTGCCCTTTTGAACCTTCTTGCCTGTAAAGGTCTCCTGGTCGGGAGCCTCCAGCAACAGCCCAGGCTCAGAGACCAGAAGCCTGTCTGCCAGCCAGGGCAAGTCCCCTCCCCACCTCAGTCCCCACCCCGCTCCGCCCCAGGTCAGCACTTGCTCAACTCCAAACAGGCCCTGAGGCCCTGGCCCTTCTTGGGGGGGTGTGGGGGGGGTCCGGGCGAGCTCACCTGGATCACATTGCTGTTGGAGCTCTTGGAATCGGCGCTGACATAAACGGAGAAGAAGGGGGAGGTGCGGTAGTGGGAGGTGACCACCTGAAGGATGTCTTGGAAATTGTCCTTGTTCCAGGGCCCTGTGATGTTCCAGCCCCCGAGCTGTGCGGAGGGAGAGAAAACGGGGAGGTCACCAGGTGGCAGGGAGACACGGGCGCAAACGCAAAGTGTGCTTCCGTGGCTGGCGAGGTCTGCGAGCCTGGAGGGGCCGCCTGACCTCTCTGAGCCTCAGAGTTAAGTGAAAGGGAGGCGTCTTCATCAGGGTTTCCGACCGGCAGGCCAGAGACCCCGGGTGGCGCAGAGGCGGGTCCGAGATAAGTGGGCCGCCAACCCACACGGTGGCTGCTCCCTGAGAGGCAGGGGACGGCGAGGGGAAGAAGACGTCTCTCTCTGGTGCGCTTTATTTTTGCAAACTAAGTCACATGCACGTCATTCCTCTTTAAGTCTAAGGCTCTATTTTTAATAAGGTAGACGATCTATGGTCTGCTTTAGTTTCTCTCAGAGTTGGGTTTTTCAGAATCTCCTTCGTGTTCCCTGCATGGGCACACGCTGGCACGTGGGGGCCTGTGCCAGAGGGAAGGGGCTGTACAGTCCCCGGTGCCCGCAGCCCCTCCCGCCGGCCGAGCGAGGAGGCAGGGCCCGGAGGGAGCACAGGACAGCTAGAAAACACCCATGGCCACCCTGTGTGTGTGCCAGGCGGCCCGGCCAGGCCTGGGCAGCCCCCTGGGAGTCCATCCAAGGCATCCAGGAAGAAAGACTCTTTCTCCTGCTCGGGAGGACAGGGAGGCCCTGGGTCAGTGGGCGGGCTCTGCTTCTGGCCTAAGGCTTTCTGTTGGCCTTCTGGAACACACCCCTTGCACTTGCACAAACACACTCGCTGAGGACAAGGAAGCAGCGGGAGAGAGAAACGTGTTCTCTGTGGATACAGCCCGTCCCGCACACAGGTGCACAGAGAGATCCACGTGTGTGACAGACACGCACCACAGATGCTGACACCCACGCCCACACCAGTACACAGACACTCCCACCCCACGGGGAGAGGAGCACACGTGCACACACGCACACACAGCCGGGGCCCGTGTCAGCAGACACGCTCTACCCTCCAGCGGGACGACATGGCTGCAGGTGGGAGGTGTCCGGCCCCGGCGGCAGCTGACAGCCGGGACGGGCACCAGAGGGGCAGGCGGGCGGCACGGGCCGGGGGAGCTCACCCTCTCGATCAGCTCCATCAGTGGCTTGGCCTTGAGCTCCTCGATCCTGGTCTCGTTCATACAGGCACGGTAGTACACCTGGGCCTTCTTTTCTGCTTCGCTCACGCTGGCTGTGGAGTTTTCTGGAAGGACAAGGGTCGGCAGTTTGCAACACGCCCCCCTGCACACACGGGCGGCCTTGGGTGGTCCTTTCCAGGACCTCGGGGGTCAGGCGTCAATGGAGCCGGGCCTCTGCCTGCCGGGGCAGCGGTGGGGAACTCACACGGCGGCGGGGGGCGGGGGGGGTGCGCCCGCCCCAGGGCAGAGCCCGGCAAGCCGTCGGCGCTCCCCGCTTTGAGATGACGGCAAAGAGGAAGAGTACGTGCCGCGTTTCTCCCCCTCTGGCGGTCGGGTCCGCAGCTGTGTCCCTGGGTTGGCAGCACGGGCCACCCAGCAGGAGGACAGTCTGCCGGCCCACACAGGGCCCAGACACCCGCCCGGTGGGTGGGACAAGGGCCCGTCTTGATTTTCGGATCCCAGATGGTCTTCCCGGTGATGCAGACAGGAGCTGGCGGGGAGCCTCAAAGGCTTCCTTCATCCTGAATTTACTTCCGGCTTCTTCCCAGAGGGGCCGAGCACGTTCATCAGGCCGCCCCCAGGAAAGGTAACAGCTTCCTGCTGCTCGGGTCACTTACAAAGGCCCTACTACGTGCCTGGGCTCCTGTGCCCGAGCCTGTGTTTCAGAGCCCCGCTCCACACCCTGCCAGGGTCCCCGATCTCCTCAGTTCCCTTTTTCCAGCCTGCTCCCCCCGTCCCACCCCGAGGTAACGCCTCACTGCTCCGGCCAGTTTTCCTCGTGTCCCTTGTCTTTCCTCCTCTGTCCTTCCCGGGCCTGAGACTCCTTCCCAGGCCTGAGACTCCTTCCTGTGCTTCCTTCAAAGCCCACCCCCCGACCCCAAACCCCACCTCCTCCACGGAGACTTTGCTGGCAGAATGTTCCCCATTCACCCACCAAACAGACACCAGCTGCTTACTCTGTGCCAGCTTTGGGGATGCGAAGGACAACACCCCCAAGCTCAGGGGGCTTCCTTTCCAGCATGAGGACAGCAAACGCGTCAAGAGAAAGCCACCAGCTCTTCTGCGTGAGACCCTGTCCAACTTTCCTCCTCTCCAAGGCCCCTCTCAGGGGCCATCTTTCCCAGAGGTTCACTCACGAGGGCTCTCAACACCCGGCTGGGCACCAGGCCTTACAGGATGAACAGGACCCGCTCCCCACCGCCGCAGGGCTCAGGCCTGCCAGGGAACACTGATGTGCAGAGAAATGACCGTCAGGCACCGAAGCGCCTCGATGAATGCAGACGATTCTGGAACCCAGAAAAAAGCCACACGGGCGGCTGGGGCGGGGCCGGGGGTTCCCCAGAGAATATCCTGTCTCACCAGGTAGACCTAAGGGGAATGGGGCCCTGGTGTTTGGGAGGAGTTGGAGAATGTGAGGAAAAAGCAAGGAAGCATAAAAGGGCATGCAGTTTGGAGAAAAAAAATCCATGTGGCGTAGCCAGTCGATACAAAAGGTCCGAGTCAGTTCCTGTCTGGTCTAATCAGCTTCCCCAGACCCTGTCCGCAGGGCTTCCCGCTCCCCGGCTCCCACCCTCCACGGCATCCCTGTCCTGACTGCTGCCCCCACCTGGCTGCAGGCGGGGTGGCGCCCTGAAGAGGGAGGGGCCGGTCTGAAGGGTGACTTGGTGGCACAGGTTCAGGGACCGCAGTTATGAGGAGCTGGGGGACAGGATCCACACAGCCCTGGAGGCCACAGGCCGCCACTGCCCAGACCTGGCAACGCCCGCCCACCTGGCCCCTGTGCCCCACTGGAGGCGGGGGAGGGGGACTTCCGGAGGGGAGGGCAGGGACCTCTCCCTGCTCCTCGGATGGATGCGAAAGGCAGCACATTGGGGAAAAGCAAAGGGGTGTCCCCCGCCCCTCCAAGGGCTGTGTTCCTATGACAACACGGCCCACCAGCCAGGCTTCCTGGAAGGGAGAGCTCCAGCCCTCACTGTTTGCCAGACCCTGAAGCCCCATCTGGCTGGCTGGCCACATCTGGCTCCAGCCGTGACCCTGAAATGTCAGGGCCAGAGTCAGGGGAGGCACACTGCCGTAAGCTCTGGCCCTTCCCTCCCCCAGTGCCTCAAGGCCACCAAGATAAGAGGAAGGCTCCAGGGACGGGCTGGCTGTGCTCATGGCAGCCAGCTCCCCAGCACCTGTGCGCAACCCCCGACTGGTCCCTGAATGACCATCACTACGAGGAACAGGAAAGCGCCCAGCCTCCTCCTCTCCTTCGCCGAGAGGCCGCCCCAGACGGGTTCCATGTCCCTTCCTCCGAGCTCCACACCCTGGGTGCCCCGTCCACTCATCTTCCCACAAATGTGATTAAGCCTCTGTGGCCTGGTGGCTGCCGGGCTGAATGTGGGGGTTCTGTGAGCAACACAGACACCAGGCGCCCGCACAAGGCCCGCAGCCGGTGGGTGAGGCAGCTGCCGGCCTTCTGACGGTCCCAAAGGCCTCTGATCCCACGGTGGGGCGGACGCGGTGGGAACACACCAGAGGCCGTGGCAGAGGATGGCCGGGGAGGCCGGGACCCCTGCCTGGGCTCTCGGGGTGAGCTCCGTGTGGAGCGGACGGGGAGGCTGTGCGCGGGCTGCCTCGCCCACTGGTCTGAGTGCTGGTCGTCCCGGTCCCCCCAGTACCGGCCAGGCACACAGCAGCCCTCGGCGCTGTTTGCTGGAAGCAGAGCCCGGGGCCTGCGTCTTGAGGAAGGACAAAGCACCTGGGGACCGAGAGGGCGATGAGGCGGGTGCCGGCTGCGCCCCTGCACGGGGAGGAAATGAGGCAGGGGGCAAGGAAGGGACAGGAGGGAGGGTCCCAGCAGGAGTCAGCGTCCATACCACCTGCATTCCCACGCTGACGCTGGCCGGGCCAGAGCCCAGGAGAAGGGAAGGCTCCTCCACTGCTCCCTCTGCCTCCGCCTGGCTCACGGAGCCCACCCACGGCAGCCCACGCTCCCAGCTCCTCACAGGGCACCCGCTCCCTGGCAGGCCCCAGGGGCACGAGAGCTGAAGCGAGACGGCCAGATGGGAGGCCACTGCACCCGACCACGTGAGCGGAGAGGGGGCCTGGGCCACGCAGCAGCGGAGAAGGGGCGAGAAACAGTGGGAGCAGGGCAGAAGGGAGTCACGTGTTCTCGGCTGGGCAAGAGGTTGGTGCTGAGATGCCCGCGGCTGGGGATGGGCAGGGCTGGCAGCGGAATAAGCCATTCAGGTTTAGGGGTTCTAAGTCAGAGACGCCCAGTAGGCATCCCAGTGGGCCCCTGGCTGGGTGGGTGTTTACAGAGCTGTGTCTTGAGCTCCTCAGGGTCCGAACAGACACCGTTGTACACAAGCTCCGTAAAGCGGCGCAGGGGGCCCCAGACCACTCCTTCTCAACACAGGCAACATTGCCCCTGGGAATGGGGGGGAGAATGAATTCGTAGGGGGCAGAAACAACTTACTCTACCTCTACATACAGCACACAACAGTTATACGGTATGGTTTTGGTACGTACATTTTGGGAGGGGGCACTAACAAAAAAGGTTGAGAAGTGTGGTCCGGATGATCTGGGCCCTGCCTCCTGCCCTCCTCCCTCTTGCTCCCGCCCCCAGGCCCCGCCCCGGGGGCCACAGCGCTCACGGCTCCTTCTATCTGCCATGCGCTTCCCTTCTCATCCACGCAGTCTGTTCTCTCACTAAATTCAAGTCTCCGCTCAAATGTCCCCTCCTCAACCTCCTCCTCTCTCCCAGGCCCCGCCTGCATCCTCCTTGATTTTCTTCAAAGCCCTAACTCTCCACAAGCACATTTTTCACTTACTCGTTTATTTGTTTATTGTCTGTCTCCCTGCTGGAATGTAATTCCACAGGAATTACCGTCTTATTCTTTACACAACGCCCGGCACCCCACGATGTCTGGCACATAGTTAATATGCAACGTATAACTGTCGGGCGGCTGCATGGATGAGTGAGTGCGTGCTCTGGGAGCTCCACAGAGAAAGGCATCCATCACTATGGCCTGAGGGAGGATCAGAGTGAAATCAGCCACGGGTCATTTTCCCTTTAGGAAAAGCTTAGTTTCCTTTAAGACGCCCTTGCCTGGGTTTAACTCTCAGAAGAAGGTTCCACAGGACCAGGCAAGGAGGAATCAACTAGGGCACCTCCCAGGACTAAGTCGGGGCCACGTTCTGTAGATGGTGGCACTGCCACGGCCCCAGTGGCAGCCCAGGGAGAGGCAACAGGGCTCCCAACCATCTGGGCACTTCCTTCTAGGGGCCTCGAGTTCCAGAAACTTCCTCAGTCACTTCCGCAAAGTCCCAGAGAGGAAAGGCAGCACATCATATAACTGGCCCGCTTCTTCCTCTGGGAGTTTGTACTGGAACAGCCTCACCCAACAAATGCCCAGGGAGCTGGGTGGCTGCAGAACCAGGGGTTGCCGGGAACTCGGGCCTGGAGGATGCGGGGGCTCCACCCCCACCATGGCAGACCCAGTGTTTGTCTTAGATAAAACCACACACTCGGCTCGGACAATCCCAGCCCTCACGAGCCCCATCCTGTGAGGGGGTGTGCGGAGCTGATAAAGGAGGTTTCTTTTTCTGCAGAAGAATCAAAAGAATAATAACGCCATCACCGTTTCCTGGTGCCTCCGTGGGGCCGCCTGTGCTGAGCTCTCTTCCTCACCACACTGGCAGGCCAAGGGGCATGTTGTCACCCCATTTCAAGGAACCTACCCAGGGCTGAGGCAGCCGAGGGGCAGCGGTGCCGGAATTTGAACCCGAGCGTTCTGCAGCTTCCCTGAGAAAACGAACTGCTCCCTCTGTGGGCGGGCGTCGTGCAGCAGGTCCCACCCATGGGTGTTAGTGTCATGCCCGATGTATAGGCATGAGGTTGGGTATCTTATCTTGTCTGAGGTCACCCTAGTGAGCGGCTGAGGTTGCCAGCAGGAGCCGAAGCTCTCCCTGCTTCCCTTGCCTCGCCTGCAGGTGGGCTCGGAAAAGCAGAGGAAGACCCGAGCAATCCGGCCGCTGCTGAGAAGCCCCGGATGCCCACTCCCATCCTCAGATTTGTCCACCCATCAGCCCGTGTACCCACTCTCCGGATGGGAGAGGAGGGCCCGCTGTGGCAGACCCCAGACGGGGTGGGAAACAGTTCCTAGAGCTTCCAGGCTGCGCAGGAAAACGAAACAACATTAGAGAGGAAATACTGGAGAAACAAATCAAAATAAAAAATGCAAAATAAAAATCACAGGGTGGCATGACTAACGACCAAGTCCCTGCCGTGGACGAACTCAGCGCCACTGGCAGGACTCTGCGTGTGTCTCCGGGAGGCCGGCGTCGGGGCAGAAGAGAGGGAGGCTGCTACCCTGTTCTCTCTCTTCACGGAGTCTGCACTGCTCGCACTGCTACAGGCCGGCGTGCATTTGTGTGTGCGTGTCTACTAATCTTATAATACAAGAAAATACGACAGGTACACAAAATGCAGTTGTGACTCAAGCCCGGAGAGGCCCTCTGGGAGCGTAAAGGAGCAAACCGACGAGAGAAAAGTCTTGCAGGATTGAAAGGGGGTGGGGTAAGTATTCAGGCTGGCAGAACAGTCCGTGCTAAAACCACAGGCCGGAAAGCCCAGGGCTAGGCCCAGCCCAAGCGGTGATCTTTCCCCCAATAAAGTCAGGCCACACTCTTTGTCTCCTATGGGGACAGCCCAAGCTGGCAGCCCGGGGAGGTGGCAGTGTCTCTTGGATGAGGCATCCGTGTCTCATGCAGATAAGGTCCCTGCCCTCCAGTCAGCAGGCTGCAAGGACACGCCACGGTGGCACTTGGCCCAGTTCAACCCACCCGCTACAGATCTGCCTGGATTTCCTCTGAGTGGGTTAGGGTGACTTCACTGTTCAGAGGAAGGAAAGGTCTGCCCAAGGTCACAGGCGAGCTGACCGTAAGAGCTGTTTTGCACGGCCAGCTGACACAGCCCTCCCAGCACTCTGAATGCCCGCTCTCCTGCTTCCACCGAGGGAAGGCTGGCCCAGGCCGGCTTGGGCAGCCTGGGCTGCCCCCGCCTGTTCGGACCCTCCATCAGTCTCAGCTCCCTCCTGAAGCCAACCCCTTTGCCTTGGGGCTGTGAGCAGCTTGGCTTCGAGCCCAAGAATGCACTGGCCCACACTCCTGGATGTTTTTTCACTCACTCACCTGCCTCCCGCCTTTTCAGGGCTTTCCAGCTATCAAGGCCCACAGGTGAGGGGCCATTTCCAAACTAGTGCCCAGGAAGGGACCTGGAGGGAGGCGACCCCAGGAAGCACCTTCTGGGGAGGTTCTTGGCCAGTGTGATGTGGGGGTGGCCCCAGCGACTGTGTGTGTCCAGCTTGGGCTGGGTCTCGCCCAGCCTGGAGAGCTCAATCAGACAGCCACGGGGGACAGGGGTCTGGCAGTCACTGTGTCCCCACTGAAGGCTCTGCCTGGCGAGTCTGACTCGGGTGAGTCAGTGGAGAAGGGACGCAGGTTTGAAGCCCTGTGGGGCTGAACCCCAACTCCAGCATTTCCTAGGAAATACATTTCCTTTGTATCTGGGAGTCTTACTGGTAACATAGTCTATAAAATGGGCAGAAATAGCTTATGCCATGCTTTTTTTTTTTTTTTCCAAGAGAGAGAGGAAGGGAAGGAGAAGGAGAGGGAGAGAAACATCCATCAGTTGCCTCTCGTAAGGGCTACAGCCAGGGACCAAACCCGCAACCCAGGCACATGCCCTGACAGGGAATCAAACCGGCAACCTTTTGCTGTGCGGGATGACGCCAACCAACCGAGTCACACTGGTCAGGGCTGCTGTGGCTTTAATAAAATTCAAGTAAACAGCCCAGCACAGTCATGGCCACGCCCCGCACTTCCTCTCCTGACAACTGGTGTCCATCAGCACTTCCATACGAAGTAAAAGCAGAAGGACTTACTCTTCCACCACCCGATTATTCCTTGGACATCTCTCCTCATGCTCCACGTTAGTTCCCACTTCACAGGTGAGGAGCTGGGGCCCTGAGAGGCCCAGCAGCCTTTCTGCAGTCACGAGGCTCATTAGAGAGAAGTCGGGCAGGAACTCACCTGCCGCCCCGAGAAGGGCCGCTCCGCTGCGCTGAGAGCATTTACTAAGTGCCCGGCTCTGGGCTAAGCACTCTGGCCACCACATGCAAGTCGGATCTCATAGGACCGTTGTGTGGCGGGGGCGCGGTTATCCCCCTTTCACAGATAGTGAGAATCAGCTGGAGAGAAGCTGGTTCGTTTGTCTGAGGCCACACGGGTGATGTGCTAGCATGCCAGGGCCGCCTGCCGCCCAAACCCTGCAGTATGGCCTCCGGATACCCCCAGACCCTGGCCCTGGGCAGGGGCCTGAATACAAGGCTGGCTACTGCGTGCCAGCTCAGGGTAGCTCCCCACCCACACCCTGACCTTTAGGGACAGGGTGGCCGCGCTCACTGACCCTGCCCCTTAAAGGGGTGGACTCAGTCCTGGCACAGCCCCACGGTCCTCCTGGTAAGACACAGCCCCAGAACCAGCAGGATCAGAGCCCGCAGGCACCATACACAAGGGCCGGTTCGGGCCTACCTGGGGAGTGAAAGCGCCTGCCGGCGCCTCTCTGGCTGGCTACCTGCTCCCCAGGACTGGGGCCCCTCTCCGTTATCACTGGCAAAGGCACCTAACTTCTGTGAGCCTCAGTCTCCTCACCTATAACGTGGGAACCACAGCGCCTACATCCCAGGGAAGCTGCGAGGACAGAGGCGGTGGTCGCATAAAGAGCCTCGGACAGTGCACAGCCTGCAGCAGACACTGAACGAATGAGCGTCAGTCTCTTTCCCTCTCTGCTTCAGGCCCACCCTCGCTGCCCCGAGCTTCCTGCAGGCTATCTCCAACAGGCACCCATCCTTGGTACTTGAGGGACGTGGCGTGGACAGGGGAACGGACACACGGCCAGAATTCAGACAAGTCCCAGCTCTGCCACCTACTAACCTACCTGGAGGACCCGTTTCCTCATCTGTCAAGCACTTCCTAGCTTCTACCCCACAGGAGCAAATAGGATGACATCTTAAAAAAACCCCCCAAAACCCAAAACACCCCTCTATAAACTCTACAGCACTGTGTAAAGGTCAAGGGTGAAAACAGCACCACCAGCATAAACAGAGCCACTGCACCATGCCAGGCCGATGTAAACAAAGCACTTTCCATGCATTTTCCCATTGAATGTTCGTAACCTAAAGGAGGCACATTCCCACTGTACCGGTGACAGAGGAGGCCCAGAGAGGTCATACAAGGGACCCAAGATCACACAGGAAGTGGAAGAACCAGCACGTGAACCCACAGGCACTAGTCCATCTTGTCACCTTACCTGGACCGTTCCCTCCCGCCTGGCAGTGCTTGCCTAGCTCCCGGCTGTCTTCAGGAGCTGGGGAAGGGATGTCCCCGAGTTCCAGTCTGGCCACTACGGACAGACTTGCCTTTTACGTTTCTAGTTCTGACGTGAAAGGCTGTGCCCCCTTTCAAAGGCACTTGGGTGGCACAAAGCAGGCAGGGGCTCTGCCATCCCTGACGCAGCGTGGCACAAAACCCCCAGCCAGCACCCCATCCTGCTCCTCGGGGAGGCAAGCAGGAGGCTATGCTAGTGAGGAGCTGCCATGGGGTCTGCCCAGGGGCTGCCGGGGGCCAGGAAGAAACAGTGGGGAGGGTGGGGGGTTCAGCGTTGCCCCCTGGAGTGGGAAAGACCTTTTGTCTAAAAGACACAGCTGCCTAAAGATCCTGACTATCAAATTAGAATCTTTTCCCGTCTTTCAGAAAACCTTCCTGTAGGATGCTTCCTGTCCCTTTGCAAGGACTCGTCCCTTTTTAGCCATCATCTTTTATTTTACCTACTTTCAAGTATCTTGGGGGTTTAAAAAAATGAGCTGAGTAAGCACTTGTAGAATCTAAGTTTTCTCATTGATGGATTAAGTGACCAGCTTTTCACGATCTGACCTCTCCCACCACCGAGGGTCCCAGGATGGGGTCAGCAGGAGAGGGAGATGGCTAAGGTCTCGGCCGCTGAGGGTGCAGGCCAGGACCCCTCCGTGTGACAGCACTGACTGCCATGACTTCACGTGGAGGGGGAGCCAATGGGTGGATGTTCACTCAACACACACTGTCCAGGGCTACAGCTGCAAACAAGACAGGCGTGGGGTCCTAACCACTTGAGAACCGCCAACACCAAGGTCACCTAGAGGTGCCGAGGGCCTCACAAGGGTCCAAGGGCAGAGCATCGGTGAGAGGCTTCTCACGCAAGCCCGCTTCTCGGGGGGCCGAGGAAGGCTGCTGCCCACGGCGAGCAACTCCCAGACGGACCGCCCTGACAGCTGCTACCTGCCCACGGCCCCGACATCCGGTCTCGCGTGCTCGGCCCCGATTCCCTGTGCTCACAACGTGCAAAAATCGCAGCCAGTACCAGTCACCAACTAAGTTCCAGTTGAAGCCACAGAAGCCAGAACCACAGCTGCCAATGTTTGCGTATCTGCTGGGCACACGCATGCCGTGCTGGCAACTCGCCCCTCGGGCTCTCTAGTTCTCTGGACTCTCCCATTTTGCAGATGAAGACACTGAGGCGCAGAGACACGTAACTTACTCGGGACCACCCAAGTGACGGGATAGGCATTCTCACCCAGTTTCACCGACTCCAAAGCCGATGACGGTCTTCCCCCTCTGCCAAGCTCCTCCTTTGACTGGCCTGGCCAGGGAGGACCCGCGGACCACCCTCCTCTGCAGCCCACTCACAGGTCGCCCTCGCCTGGCGCTGCTTACCCAGGAGGTGTTTGATGATGGCTTGGTTGTGTTCCCAGAGGTTGCTGAACGTCCCCCAGCGCGAGTGGCCATCAGGCACGGGGTTGGCTTTGATCCAGCCGCCGCAGGCGTAGGTGAAGAAGTCCTGGCAGGGGTCCACCGTGGGGTCCATAGAGCTCAGGATGGAGCTGGTCACTGAGACGCAGGCCTGGCTGAGGCACACAGAGGGGGCTCCTGGCGGGGGACAAGGACAAGGGGCCAGTGAAGGGTGGGCAGGGAGGAGGCTGCAGGACTGCAGCACAGGTGGCCCGGGGCCCCGGGCTGCCATGCCCCACCCTGGCTGTGACCAGACAGATTTGGAGCTGGACTAGACCCCTCCGGAGAAGTGATCTCAGTAGATTCACTGTCTCCTGGCTTATACGCTAAGTCTTCTGCTCAGATGCCTAAAATCCTTTCTGTGGTTTCGAAATACTCCGAAACAAGATGTTTCTCTTAATGAGTCCTTCCCTCTACAAATATTCATTGACTTTCTACTACTCCTTGGTATTCAACAAGTTCATTCACTCATCCATGCATTCATTTGTTCAACAAGATAATGGCTGCCCCCCAGATTCTTTGCCGAGTGCAGTGTGTGTGTGGTGAAGGGTACAGAAGGTGAAGTCCTTCCCTTCAAGGGCTGAGAGCTTAGCTGGGGATACACACGTTGTAAAGGGAAAGTCAGAAGAGAACAGGAGGAGAACCTTCTGTCACTCCGCAAACATAAGCTGAGTGTGTTTAGTACGTGGCAAAGGGCGGCAGACATTACGATGCCAGGACTTAGGGAGAAAAAAGACGGTTAGAAATCGAAGGAAAGTATGAAAAATCATTATCACTGAACACAAGGAAGGAGGGTGACCTCAATGAATCCTAAAAAAACCCCCCCAAAAACAAAAAAAAAACCACACAAAATGAAACAACCCTAGGAAGTCATTTTGCTTACGGTCAAATTTTATATAGAGGAAGCTGAGGCAGAGTAAAGCTAATAAGCAGCCTGCCCAGGGGCCGACGGGATGTAAACCCCACCGTCTGTCAGCTGCGTCTGCTCTGGGCCTGGACTGAACACTCTCCCGGTGAGGATCCGCCCCCCGGCACTGCCGGATGGCAGGGCAGCTGCACCTGTCGGGGTGGGCTAACGAGGGGCGGACTAGGTGCAGGTGGGCAGTGGGCAGGGCTGCAAATCCTACCAGTGGCTCCAAAACACAGGAGCACAGAAATCAGCTTCTTCTGAGCTAGTTCTCACAAATGTGGGCAGAGGTTACCCTGAAGGCAGGAGGCCAGAGGCGGGGGGTGGACCCCTGGCTCAAGGTTGATTGGTGGGCGCTAGGGAAGGACCCACACTGTGGGCAGCCTCCGCTGTGGCCCAGCTCGAGGCAGCCAGATGCACCTGACGCTGCAGGGGAGAGAGGCCGGAGGTCCAGGCCAGGGACTGAGGACAGGCCCAGTGGACTCCTCTGTTGACACAGCTGTGCCGGCGACACGAGGGACTGTTGACTGAACACAGCCCTGAACCAGGCACTTCACGCACATCCACGATCTCATTCGGGACTCAGTACAAGCCTCAGATGCAGGTGTGATGCCCTGTTTGAAGATAAGGCAGCTGAGGCTCTGAGCGAGCGAGGGGACAAGGTCACCAGCTGAGTGGCAGAGCCGACACTGAACCCGGCTCCTTCTTGCGGCAACTCCACGGCCCGCTGGGGTTCTCCGCCTCCCCTCACTTCCTCTTTGCAGGTCACACCTGGGGCTGCTGCGGGCCTTCTGCTGAGTCTGCTCTTCCCCCTCTACAGGGAGGAGTGAGGCAAGGCAGGCAGACATTGTGAGCCCCCAGGCCTGGGTTCGAATCCCAGCTTTCTCCTTCTGGCTGTGGGCCTCACACAGTGACCTCATCTCTCTGAGCCTCGGTCTCACACTCTAGAAATGAGGAATAGCAGCAGGACCTGATTCATGGTGAAATGACCTCCTGACGGCTGAGCTCGGGGACTCGGCTCCCTCAAGTCCTAGGGTGTGGGGCTGCCAGGCCAACCTTTAGAGAGCAGGAAGAGCTGGCTGGCTGGGGCAGTGCTCACCTCACTGGGAAACAACGCCAGCGGGGGAGGGGGGCTGGGTGGCCTGCAGGCTATTAACACCTGATGACAAATTCAATTCGAGGTCCTGCAGGTGGAGCAAGGACTGGGAGGAGCTGCGTAACCGCAGAGAAAACAAGGTGACTTTATTTTGAGGTAATTACTTGTTTTGAGACGGCTATATAACAATTACAAATCATGAGCCATTAGGCATGAAAAGAGAGACAGGCAGTGGCAGGGAAGGGGCACCAGGTTCAGTATCTCTAGGTGAGGTCGTCCTGAGCTGGGCTGCGCGCCCCGCTCCCCACAAGGGGAGATGCCAGAGCTCTTACGGCAGGTGCGGGTGGGGAAGGAGAATTTCCATTGTCGTTCAAAAAAGCCTATTCACTATTATGATATAACTCTGTATTTGGAACAGGAAATGAATACTTATTGTTTCTGTACAACAACCTACAGGAAATAAAGCCTGACGAAGTCTTGGCTGCTGGAAATACCAAAAAAACAGAGTGTAAGAGGGTGATTCTCAGAGGGGTAAATACATCAGAATCTGTGTGTGTGTATGTGTGTGTGTGTGTGAGAGAGAGAGAGAGAGAGAGAGAGAGAGAGAGAGGGAGGGAGGGAGGGGGGGGGAGGGAGAGAGAGGGAGATTGAGAATTAGTCCGAGTTCTCCACTAAGCTCCAGCTCTGCTTGGCACAGGGCAAGGTCCCTAGGTGGTGCTTAAGAAATAATTTTTGATTATTCAATGGTTTATAGATCCTTTATCAACTGTTCTTGGCCCAGCAGGTGCTTAATGCATATGTGATTGATTGTTTCCAGACCCCTTGTTTAATGTCAAAGTCAACAGTCAGGCTCCACCTCCCTGGGGAAGCCTTCCCTCACCCTCCTCCCACTCTAGGCCCCTTGGCCGCCCGGCCCAGATGTAGGCCGGAGCACAGACAAACCTGTGTCTTGGCCCTCTCCCCGTCTACCACCCCCACTAGAGAGTGAGCTCGAGGGTAGGCCCGGCATTTTACTCGCTTTACTATTTCCTTTGCCCAGCATTGGGCTTGCCACCTAGAAGCTGTCCAACACATTTGTTGAATGAATGAATGAATGAATGAGTGAGTGAATGAGTGAATGAAAGAGCTTTGTCCGGCACTTGGTCACCACCTGTGGAGGCAGAAAATACTTCTTTCCTTTAGAACGTGCATGGTCACTCGAGAAAGCAGGAACAGGTCCCAGATCTAGGTCCCAGACACTTGTCTGGACAGTACCTGGCCTTGACACTTAGTAAGACATTTCAGAATATCTTCTGGGAAGAGTTATTGTTTGTTTTGCTGCTGCTGTTTGCAAAGCACCTGCAGGTTTCTAGAAAGGAGGGTGCGGCAGGAAGGTGGCTAAATGCATGTGTAAGTGCCCAGACATAACTCAGAGGTGAGTCTTTCAGAATCCAGAGAGAATTTGGTGTGTCTGGCCTCATGTGTGCTTAGATGTGGCCGGCGCCAGCCCCTGCTGCTGGGTAATGAGGTTCCTGTCAATATCTGGGGTGGCCTCTGTGTGTCCACCAGGCCCAGGCAGCAGATAAAAACACATGGGTTGGCTCAGGGGTCACCTGATTCCTGCCAAGCTCCACCCAGAGTTCCTTGCACCCAGGTCGAGGCTGGCAGAACCCTTCTATGTCCCTGAGAAGGCTGGGGTCCGGGTAGAAGCAGGATTCTGTCCCAGGGGACCCCTCTGTGGCCCAACTGCTAGGAGCCTCCCCTTGGGGGTCCCTTCTGGTTTCTGGTGGAGAAACACCTTGGGAACTCCCGGGGCAGTCCCAGGGCGACACTGGCTGCTGGAGTCTCACCCTCTCCCCAGGCACACGGCCGGGAGCTGGGCAGATGAAGCTGGGCAGGGCCCACATCGCCCTGCGGGGTGTCTGTTCTGAAGGGAAGCTGATGTAGGCGAGGCCTTTCCTCACAGGCAAGATGGTGACTACAGGACAAGAGTGACCAGCAGGAAAGGACTTTCCCAGCTTTGTCCTCCTTTCTGTTCCTTTGTCCATGAAGTCATTGATTTATTCAATTTGCAAACCATCTGTGCACACCTCTGGCATTCAGGCATTAGGCTAAGTACACATGGTTAAGGGCCTGGAAATCATTAACTAATTAATCAAACACGCACCTAGCGCCTGCTGAGCCGGGACTCGTGGGTAAAGGACCCGAGAACCACGGTGGCACCTGACACAGAGGGAGCACCCATTCAATGTTCGTGGAACGAACGCACGCACGAGTGAACAGATACTGGACACGGTAGGGATGTGAGGACGACGCCGACGAAGTCCTGCCCCTGCCCGGGCCTGCCAACTTCTCCCCATCCCAGCCTAGTGCGGCCACCCCGCAGGCCAGCAACTCTGCAGGGCAGGCGGCGCCGTGAGGCCTGGGGCCGACGCTCCCAGGCCCTGCATGGGTTCACGCTCTCCCTGACGGGACGAGTGACCGAGCAGGTGACCCAGTCTGTGGGGTTGGGCCCTCAGGGGCCGTTCAGCCAGGTGGACAATCTGCCACCAGAAAGCAAGGCGCTGGGCAGAGGGGAGTGAGAGACCCTGGAACCCGCGGGCCCCCAACTCTCGTTTTCCCCGGGAAAACCAGCCTTCCCAGTTCCAAAGTGCCGGCCCCCCCAGTTCCAAACTGCCGCCCGAACACTGAGGCCACGTGAGGCACTTGGCCGGGTCCTCTCGGCCAGACACGGAGAACCAGCCTCGGCCCCACCCGCAGGGGCCCCATCACATCGCCACTCTCCACTCGAGGTGGGAGAGAGGTGGTGACAGAGGTCCACAAAGGTGAGCTGGGGCACGGCCGGACAGCTTTCTGGGAGACCTGACGCACCCTGGGGTGCACCCTGCGCCCCAAAGGCAGGCGGAGCTGGGCCCTGAGGCCCGATGGCCTGTGGCTGATTCCAGGCTCCCCAATCCCCGCTGCAGTAACCTTGGGCAAGTCACTTCATCTCACTGCCTCCGTTTCCTCACACGTAAAACGGGGCCAAAAGTAACCACACTTCACAGGGCTGCTGTAAGGCGGACATGAGATGACGTTTGTGGAGAAGCCGTGTGGCATTTGGTCCACGTAAAACGTTAAGTACACGGAAGCCATGGTGGCTGATTTGTCGGAACTACGGATGCTGGGCAGTGCCAGCCTGCACGTCTCACCAGCCACACACCCTAACAACAGCACCCACAGCTGAAGCTAAAGAAGTCCTGGTGGGCACCAGGTAAATGCCATATATTATCTCCGATCCTCAGAGCCAACCCCCACAATGGGCATCATTTGTCCTTAAAGTAGAGAGAGATTAAGTGACTTGTCCAAGGTCACACAGATGGTAAGTTGCTGGGCCGGGACGCAGACTCATGTCCTTCTGACTCCAAAACCTTCCCACCGCCCACACCGCCCACCTGCTGGGTCTCAGGCTATCTCAGCAACCCGAGCCTGCCAGGCTGAGCTCTCTCCGTGACCTTGGAGGCCGGTCCGGCTGGAGCGGGGAAGCCCCCTTGCACAGGGGGACAGAGCTCAGTCAAGCCCACAATGAAACACAGAGGCACCTACTTGTCCGGTACTGGACACCCAGCACTGCCACACAGGCCACCAGTCCTGCTGTTAGAAGTGCCACCAGCACCACCAGCCGCTTCTCCACCTGGGTCAGCGTGGCCCAGCATCTCTGGCCACTCCGGGGGCTGTGGAAGTTCACCTGCAGGGAAGGAGGAAGGAGGGGTGGGGAGGACGTGAGCCCCGGGCCCCCCTTCCCCAGGAGGAAGGGGCTCTGTGGCAGGCCCAGGCCCCGCGGGGACATCAGGGTGGCCCTCCTGCCTCGGGGGTGGTCTGGTTCCCACGGACTGGGTCCTGGTCCAGGAAATGAACTGCCACCCTGCTCAGCAGCTTAGATTTGCTCCTAAACTTCAGAGAGTCAAGTAGCTCAACCCAGCTGGGCTTGTATTTTTTTGTGTCACCCGATATGGGTAGAAGGGAAAAAAAAAAAAACCCAGCTTTTCCCTGTTTTTCCAGTAAGGAGTTCAAAAAAAGAACAGGATGTTTGGACTTGCAGGCATCCAGTGAGTGTCCAGCTGGGCTCTCCTCAAAGCCCCTGCATCCACCAGCTGGGACAATATATCACAGAGGCGACGCCACGACGGCTCACACTTCCCAAGCGCAGACGTCATCTCATTGCAGCATCAGCTCATTCAACACCCACAACCCCACGAGGGCTATCATTAGTTCTCTTCTTACAAATGAGGACAAGAAAGTTCCGAGAGGGAAGACCCTGCCTCCATCACGCAGCTGAGTGGGCGGGAGCTGGGAACTGTGACCCCAAGCCTGTTGATTCTGGAGCCCACAGTGGGTCAGAGATTTGCATCTTGAGAAGATGTTGGGGGACATGCCATGGAGATGCCATGGGCACTCGGCTCCCTGCAGGCAGGTCCTCAGAGGGAGGAAAAAACGGCCCCCGCCTCACAGGCTGGCCAAACAGGAAGAGAGGCACAATGAGAGGAAGTGGGGGGCGTGGCAGGGTCCCTGGGGCCGAGGGACATGCCAGCCAATGGCACTCACAGCCCTCAGCCTGGCGAGCCCAGGGCTCCCCTCTGTTCCAGGAGGCGCTTCTTGCAAAAGCTGGGACCGCTGTTCAGGAGGGGGCCCCTGTGGGCTCCGTGTTCAGTGACTTTACGGCTGTTTGCCGACAGCTGAGCACCAGCTCAGGCCATGTCGGACGTACTAAGTGGAAGACGGACTCCCTCATTTTCAGGGGCTCACAGCCCAGCAGAGAGGCCAATAAACACACAGATGAGGGTGGGCAGGGGTTCAGTCAGGGAAGGCTTCCTGGAGGCATGGGATGCCCGGGCTGGGTCTTGAAAAATAAGTAGGAGCTGGCCAGGCGAGTGCAGAAGGCAAGGGGACGGAGAGGGAAAGGAGCTGCCAGGGGAGATGGGGAGACCCAGACTCTGACCCGCAAGTGCCCCCCCAGCAGCTGAGGGGGTGGCTGCCCCCAGGAGCCAGGTCACCCTGGCACTTGGGGGTATAAGGTTGGTCACCTCGGGGAAGGAAGGGCACTAAGTGACCTCATGGTCATCATCGTGGTCATCGCTGGGTATCTTCTGGCCAGGAAATGACAAGGAACTGTTGTGCCAGAGAAAGGGGAACACGAGAAATACTCATGGAAAGAAAACTGGGTTCTCAAACTGAGAAAGGGAACTTGGGGCCCAGTCATACTTTCCGAGGAGGACCGGGAGGCTCCGAAACCAAAGCAGCTGTGTCAGGTGGGATCGGGGAGCGGTGCCACCTCCTAAAATCCCTTAAGGACCTTTTTTTAAAAATGTGAGAAACAAAGACTCTGCCCACACGGCTGCCATTGAGTTAAGACTCGGGCTGGGAGGGCCCAGCGCAGACAGCGAGCGCCCGTGCCGGGCAATGCCGACACGCTCGCAGCACCACGAGGCCTACGATAGGCCTCTTCCACGGCAGCAGACTCCTCACACAGTTGACCCTGCATTCGGAGGGGCCCCGACGGGTGCCAGGCAGGCCCGACACTTACTCTCAGTCTCCCAGCGGCCCTGCCCCTGTTACGTTCTGCCTCCTGCTCTAGGCCTCTCAGTGCCTCACGGTCACGGCTTCGCTCCTGGGGGAGGCGGTGGAGGGCACAGAGGCGGGGAGCCCCCCGTCTGGTGCTGGCTTCGGGAAGCCTGGCAGCACAGCCTTCGGGCTGGGGGGAGCAGGAAACCTCCCTTTATGTGGACTAAACAGTCTGCAGTGCGGGTGGGGGGTCGGAGGAGGAGCAAGGAGAGAAGCCAGACATGAAAAAGGAAGGGAGACAATGAAAGGATCGGAGGGAAGGAGGAAAGGGAAAAAAGAGTGACAATGGCAGCTAATACTTGAGTGCTTTCTGTGTGCGCGGGTGGGGCTGTCCTGTCTGTACAGCGTCCCTAAGGGCAGGTAATGGCATTACTGGGTCCAGAAGGAACACAGGAAGTGGCAGGGGTGGAGAAGGCGAGAGAACGGTGGGAAAGGTCACCTCTCCCCAGAACCCGAAGCCTCAGCCCAACGGCCGTGCTGCCCCCCGAGGAGCAAAGGCGAGCTGAGCCTCACTGTTCGATGGCAACCAAACAGTTGGTGTTCTCTGTAAAATTTAATTAGAATGAAGTAAGAATCAAATGAGAAATTCATAGCTCCAGGCGGAAACAGCCAAGAGAATTTGAAAACAGGGTTTTTAACCTTTGCAATGGTCTTCGATCGCCTCGTACTGCCTGGTTGCCAGGGTCTCCTGGTTTCCAGACAAGGCCCGAGCCCGTGTCCGAGTGTGGAAGGGCTCCAGAGGCGGCCCCTGGGCAGGAGGAGTCACCAGGAGGCACTGTGCTGATCAGGGGACCTCCCCAGGGGAGGCTGTCCCTCTCCCGGCCGTGCTGGACAGGGCAGGGGCCACAGATCTGAGCTGCCAGCGAGGCCCCTGCTCTCGCTCAGCCGCCGTCATCCTGACCTGCCTCCTTCCAAGGATCCGGCAAGGCAGGCCACGGCAAGGGGAGGATGCAAAGGTTCCCCCATTCCTTCTGGAAATAAGGGCAAGTCGATCACCAGGATCAGTGGTGGGCAGCCCCCTGCACTCGGGTATATGACCATCCACCCGCCAAGGAGCAGAGCCGACACCTCAGAAGACGGGGTTGAGATTTATTGTAAATGCTTGGCTCACTGGTGGGCTTAAGATCCATTTATTGTTGTGTGAGGTAAAGAATGAGAGAGATGGCCTGGCTGGTGTGGCTCAGTGGAGTCAGTGCCGGCCTGTGAACCAAAGGGTCGCAGGTTCAATTCCCAGTCAGGGCACATGCATGGGATGTGGGCCAGGTCCCCAGTAGGGGGCGCGTGAAAGGCCACCACACACTGATGTTTCTCTCCCTCTCCATCCCGTCCTCTCTCTCTAAAAATAAATAAATAAAATCTTCAAAAAGAGCCCTGGCTGGCGTAGCTCAGTGGATTGAGCGCGGGCTGGGAACCAAAGTGTCCCAGGTTCAATTCCCAGCTAGGGTACATTCCTGGGTTGCAGGCCATAACCCCTAGCAACCGTACATTGATGTTTCTCTCTCTCTCCCCCCCTTCCCTCCCTAAAAATAAATAAATAAAATCTTAAAAAAAAAAAAAAAAAGAAGTTACGCTAAGTTAAAAAAAAAAAAAGACAGAGTGAGTCAGAAAGAAAAGGATGCCCTCCAAAGGCAGAGGTGGAGAGGGGGACAGACGGAGAGAGACAGAGCCGGGGAAGCAGAATGAGAGCGAGAGACAGCTGAGCTGAGCAGCCTGAGAGTTCCCAGGGTCTCCGTGGGAAGGGAACAAAGCCCTGGTGAGGGATAAATATTCAGTTACAGAAGTGGGCGCGTGGCCCGCCTAGGCTTACGGCAAGAACGGGTTCTGCAGGTGAGGAAGGGCCACGGCCGCCTGGGGCCCAGGCGACAAGCCAGCAGCAGAGGGGCTGTGGAGGGGGCCCAGCCTGGTTTTCAGATGACGCAGGGGGGGCGGGAGCAGGGAGGGGGGATCGGTGGCGGGGGGTGGGGCGGTGGCTGAACAACTGCCAGGTCCTCAGGCGACCTGGGTGTCATGGAGCCGCAGACAGGGGTCAGCCGGGCCAAGGGCTTGGCGGGGAGCCCACCCCCTGCAGCTCCAGGGCCGAGCCACCCCGTGAGGACCGGCAGGGCGACCAGGCTGCCGGCCCTGGAATCAGCCCTTCAGAGCAGACAGACCGTGACAGCTCGGCCCTGGGCAGCACTCTGCCTACAAGAGGGTGTTAGGTTGGGGAGGTTTCTTCTAGAAGTTTCCATATGGTGGGCTTTGGCTAAGGCTGCTGGGGCCAGTCCAGAGCAAAACTGTAAGTTCTTGGGTCCTCCCCCATCTCTTCTCTGAGCCCTACCTGTCCCTGGTGCCCCCGCGCCCCTCTTGCCTAACTCTTCCACTGCCTGACGACAGCTTCAAGGAGCTGCTTTAAGAATTTGTATCCTAACAGGAATCAGTCTAATGCTCGGAAGAAGCACCTTCCAGGTAACTGGGTGACCGTCTGAGGTTTGGGGGAACAGTCGTGGCTGCCTGCTGTCAGCCCTCAGTGGAGGCTGCAGGGGTAACTGGAGCTTTTTTCCCCTTCCAAGCCACTGCAGTGGTGTCTGCGGGGGAGGGGGAGGCCGGGCAGCCAGTCAGAGCAGAGCGCAGGCTCCCAGCAGAGGAGTGATTAGAGTCAGGGCATCGCTGAGATGTCACGCCTGGCGCGTTTTGATGACGACCCTGCTAACAACCAAATCCATTTTCGGAGCACTACGCCAAAGGCTTTCACCTACAGGGTGTCATTTCCACGTTGCCACCGCACCGAGAAGTGGGTTCGTACTATTAGCTACTGGAAAAAAGCTAAGTGAGTTGCTTTCAGGTCTCAGGGCCCGTGAGAGGCAGAGCTGGGGTTCCGTGTTAGCGCTGCCTGGCTTTCGATTGTGCACGCAGCCCACACTGACTCATTGGGTGAACCGCAATGAACTTGTGCCTAAAATATGAGATAAAGAAGAAGAAAGGCTCTTCCAGGGGAGGTGCAGGTGGAACTCGGCTCCAGCTAAATCCACCAGTTTGTTAGCACAGTCAGTAATGGAGGTGGCACGTTTGGCTGAAAGACAGGAGCTTTCATTTGCTAGAATTGGTATCAATAACTCTGGAGTTCCCAGAACCAACGGGCTTCAAAATCTTGAAAAATCAAGTAGCTTATTTTTATAGCTGCCCACCAAGAGAGGGAGGTTTGGGAAGCCTGGGTCCATTTAAAAAAAAGTCTAAAATTGAAGGAGCACTTGTGTTTCTAGAAACCATCTGACAGGAAATTACTCAAAAGGCTAAAAGACGGCCAGTCACAGTGTTCCAGTTACTGGGCCTATTGTCCACAGACAGCGGATCGACTACCTGTATCTGTATGTATTGGTGCCTTGAGGTGTTACGGTTTTTAATGGCGGCACGTTTTGGAGGTTTTTAACGACACGGAAAAACGCTTCTGAAGTGTGAGAACTGCAGGGAGCAGCGCTGTGGCCTGAGAGTCAGCTCACCTACGTTTAAAAATAGACACATGCAAATGTGAAAAACTAGAAGTGGTTACCTGTGTGCGGGCCGTGGGATCGCTGTTTCTCTTTAAAGCTTTTTGTTAAAAATAGTGGGTTCTTTTCTTTTGCACAAAAGAGCATGTAAAGAATATACGTGGGGGGAAAACCCCAGTGACCAGAAACGTAAAATCAACAGAAGACTCTGCTCTGTCAGCAGAGGCGTCAGCAGAGGCAGTGGGTTCTGGACTCGGGAGCACGAGCACTGGGCCGCTGCACATGTGCTCTGGAGAGGCTGGGGAGGCTTCAGGCGAGCCAGCCCAGGCACCCACAGAAACTCCCCAGATCCTTGGGGCAACCTTTTTTGGCTTTTCCTGCATAAGAAGTGGGCAAGGTACCCAGTCTGGTGTAGGGGCCCCGGCACGGCACTCCAACCCGCATGCCAGCTGTGTCTACAGGAATCTTCCCGACCTCTCTGAGACTCGGCATTACCGTCCGCCACACGGCCACAGCGGTCCTTACCTCGTGGGTCATAAAGACAACCATCCCAGCAGGCCCCGTACTATGCATCCCACCCACTTTTTCTATCTCCCACTTTACAAATGAGGGACTTGAAGCCCTGGCCGGAGTGGCTCAGTTGGTGGGGTGTCATTTTGTAAACTGAAAGGTCGCCAGTTCGATTCCCAGGTGGGGTGCATGCCTGGGTGGTGGTGTTGGGGCGCCTTCAAGAGGCATGGCTGTTTCTCTCCCTCCCCTCCCCGCTCTCTAAAATCAATAAGCATGTCCTCGGGTGAGGATAAAAAACAAATAAAAAAGAAGTTTTTTTAAATGAAGGAACTGTGCTTTAATGGGATTAAGTGGCTCACCCGAGATCTGAGTGGAGTCAGAAATCAAAACCAGCCCCCGTGGCTTCAGGGACTGAGCCGCCCTCACGCCACCGGGCAGCCTCAGGGGCATGAACGTCTGTGTGACCTGGGAAACGCTGTACCCACGTGGGCTGCTGGCATGATGGCAACCAATGGCATGTGATTTTGTTGTGAATTCCAAATGCTTTTGTGTGGGGTATATTTAGAACTTCCACACTGTGGAAGATGAGACTACAAAGATTGCTGATTAGCCTCTGTTCTGATGGGTGAGGGGAGAAGCCTGCCACAGAATCTCACTTCCTGCTGGATGGAGCCTTTCGTGAAGTACCCGCAAGGAGGGGGTGCCGGACAGGCCGGGTCCGGTTTCTCACTCCGGATTTCGAGCTCTGGACCTACGGTGACTCGTCTTCCCTTTCAGAGTCTCATTCCCTCACCTGTAATGGGCACAATCACCCTGGCAGCTCACAGGGTGGCCCTGAAGGTTAAGGGGGGTAACGTAGGTAAGGGTGCTGCATCCCACTTGGCATCTCGACTTTGGACCTCCCTGGACCTATGGAGCCCGGAGGAAGGACTCAATCAATGCTATTTCCCTCTATTAGCATTTTCACTCCGGCTTCAAAGAAGTGTGCCTGCGCAGGGCTGGGTCTGGCGGCCTGGGCTCCCACACTCCCTAAGCTTGCCCTCCAGGTGGGCAGTGGTGCGGTGTCCGTTCACTGGGAGGCCCCGAGGCACCCCCCCCCTCGCCCGCCCCACTGCCTGACCCCCTTGGTCAGCCAGGTGGAAGTCCTCCTGGGCTGAGCCACCCGGCTCCTCTCCCTACACTGGTTTCTCAGGAACCAAATCACAGAGAGCCCTTGACCTTTCCAAGTCACTGCCTGCTGCCTGCCTGGGTAAAAACTCCATCGGGATGGAGGTGTCCGGGTCAGGACTGTCCCGCTCTGCCCCACCGGGAGAGGAGAGAGGAAAGAGGAGAGCAGCCTTGCTCACTGCTGTGTCACAAGGTGGGGAGGGAGGTGGTAGGCTTCTTGGATTCCCACACGGCCAGACCCCAGGAAGGGAGGAATCGGGCTGAAAAGTAGCTGGGAAAGGAGGCAGAGAATGGTGGCCCGCACCCCTCCAGAAACTCAGGTCTCTGTGTGGAAAGAGGAAGAACAGGGCAATGCCCACCAGAGAGGGGGACCAACTGCGGTGGGCACAGGGACGAGGGGCTTTCATGCTAAGACAGTTTGAGACGCTGCCAGAAATGGGCCGTGCGACCCAGGGCAAGTCCCTCCAGCTCAGGAACTGCCTGCCTCTCCTGTGAAGTTCAACTCTGGAGGGGAAGGGAGGGAGTGAGCTTCAACCCTGCCCCCTGGGGGCTGCAGCCCACCCCCTGACTAGGTGGAGGGGAGGGTTTGGGGCAGAGCAGGGGGAGGGGAGGCTAGTGGGGAGCTCAGCGCCCCAGGGGAGCACTTCCGTCCCAGAAAGGCTTCTTCCCCGTGAGCCCAGTGCTGCCCACAGCTTCTGGCTTCACAGCCCCCTCAGGGGTTGGAAGGATGGGGGCGGAGGTGGGAGAGGCAGCACCAGCGTGCATGCCCCGCCCCCCTTTGCCCGCCCCCTCCACGGGGCTCTCACAGAGGGTGGGGGCTCCTACCTGCAGGCCGTTCGGGTACCCGTCGCCCTCGGAGAGCGAGTCCACCAGGTCCTCTTCATCCAGCGTGGCCCGCTTGTAGGTCGACATCTGCAAGGCCAAGTGCAGCACAGACTCCTTCAGCGCTTCCATGGCTCTCACACCCGAATCGGGAAAATGGGGAAGCGTCCTGGGGGCCGCTACCGCCACCACCATCACAACCACGTGGCCACAGCCAGCGCGCCCCGCCCCGGCCCGCCCGCCCGCCCGCCCGGACACCGATACCTGCCCAGCGACCAACCCAAGGCGGGGGAGGGGGATCCGCCTCCCCCCTCTCAGCGCCTAGGCAACGTAGCCCCTCACCCGCCCCCCCCGCCCCGTGCCGACAGCGACAGTGACAGCGCTGCGGCCCCGGGGTGCAGTAGCCACACGGTCGGCATGCGCCCCTTGACGCTGCGGTCCCCACCGTCGCTGCTGCCGCTTGTGCCTAGCTGGTCTGGGAGAGCCGGCCGGGTAGCATTGCGCCACCTTCGCAGGCGGGGCCTGATCCGCGCACCCGGCTCCGGTTTCCTCCCAGGCCCGACCAGAGGACCCCCAAGGCCCAAGAGTTCTCGTCCCAGTCCCGGGGAAAGTGCCTTTCCCACAGGTGAGGGCACAGCCAGCCCCTAGCAAGCAGGAAGGGGCCCGCAGCAACCCCTCTCTCTAAAAACCCGTAAGTCCTGCCTCAGTAATCCCCAGTGGCAGATACCAAGAGTCTAGTGTTAGGAAGGTGCCCCTGGGTTGGCCCACAACAGTTGTGAGGGTCCTCCCACCATTGGCCCTTAGGTGCAGTGCTGGGGGGGGTTCCCCCACCTGAGCCGCAAAGATGAGGGGGAAGGAGGCAGAATATAAAAAAGACAGGTATCTCCCCTCCCATTTCTCCCTCCCTCTAGCTCAGGGGTCTTTAAGCTAGAGCTCATGAACAATTTCAGAGACTTCCGGAGAACTCCCCTGACCTAGAATGAAAAGTGGTGTGTGTGTCCGTGCCGGTGGCCAGAGGGGGATCCGATGCTTGCCTCCAAGCTCAAAGGTGCAACTGTCCCCCCAAAACAGTAAGAATCCTGGCTTCAGCCTCAGGCCTCATCAACGGCCAGGACGGCCACCCTTCCCTCTCAGGAGTCCAGAGCCCTGAGCAGGTGCTCCCCCGCCCCGGTCCCGTGACGTAGGCTGGACAAGTGGGCTCTCTCAGATGTGGGGTGCTCGGGCAGACTCGGGACACCCGCATTCTCCCTTGCACCCAAGACCCTAACTCAACAGTTTCCCAAAGGACCCTCCACGTCCAGTGAGACCTGGAATCCCCTCCATTTATACGTTTTTTCAGCTTAAAGTCCTTCTGTTCGCTTCTGCATTTGGTTCTCACAACCCACACACATGGGAAGCCACGGGCTCCGAGAGGTGAGGTGACTTTCCAGGGTCACAGACAGAGGGACAGACAGCTCCTGGCTTCCGCCCCTGCCCTCTTCAAGTCCCCTGGAGCAGCTAGAGTGCATCTTCAAAAAGGACATTCTAATCCTGCCACTCCCTTGGTCACAACTCTACAGGGACAGTCCCTCTCCAGTCCCCCATGGCCCCTGCCCCCCCGGGGCCTCACCTTGAGCTGCACCCCACCTCACTCTCCGGGACCCTGGCTGCGGGGCCCTCACTTGGGTTTTACGTTTCTCTCCCTCCCCGCCCCAGAACTGTGAGTTTTGTGAGGGCTGGGACCCGTCTGGCCCAAGGGGTTCCCATCACCTGGCATGCTGAAGGTGTTCAACAGGCAGACAGCGTGAAAGGTGGAGCCAGTGGAAGGGAAGGGCCAAGTGATCTGGGCCGGCGCCTTTAAATCCTGGTGGCTCTAACACGGCCAAGCGCAAGGACACAGAAAACTCACGTAAGGGGCGCAGGTGCCTCGGGAGGCAGAGGACTGCCTGCGGCATGAAGTTTAATTCCGGAGGCTTCTGCCTCCCTCCCACTGGGTGAAGGCGTTCCCATTCCCACCTGAGAGAGAGCGGGCTCCCAGGCCTCTTCGCTTGATGCTGGGTTGCAGCTGAGCCTGTTCCGAAACTCGGACACTTGGGTACACTAAGTAACAGGTGTCAACCACCCCAGGAGCAGACCCTTGGAAAAGAAGTTCAGTCCACCAAACATGTCCCCATCCTGGCACAGCGGGCACTACCGCCTGGACACCTAGGGCTGGGAGGGGCCTGTCAGTTCTCTCACGCCCACCATCTCAGGAAAGCCTCTCCCCTTTCCCTCTGCAACCGAGGCTCAGGGAAGTAACTTGCCCGGATGCGATGAAGCAATGACTCCTCCCCCTTCGCCTCATTCCAGAGGTCACTCCTTCTGCGGAGCTCCCCTGACCCCAGGCTGCAGCAGGCAGCAGCGTGTGGTCCCCTGCTCTGTGCTCCCCTGCACGGCCCTCTACCCCGTGCTCCCTTCACGGAAGCACACAGCACTGCAGACCGGACGGGAGGACCTCGAAGGCAGGGATCGAATCTCATCAGGCTGGAAGCCCGACCCCGGGGCCAAGGCCAGGCAGCCCGTGCCCTCCGTCCCACTGCGGCCGGTCGGCAGACTGGACAGACGGATGGACCCACGAGGAGGAGAGCTCACATACCTGTCCGCAGGTGAGGAGGGAAGCTCACAAACCTCCCAAGCAGAAATCCGCAGGGAGCTGTTTATTTCTCAACACACAATAGATGAGGGCCCTTCCTGAAACACTGGCCTGGGGCCCTGAGGTGAAACTGAACCCACCTCAGGCGTGGGAATGGCTCAGCTGGCTCTGGCAGGTGGGAGAGCCGCAGGCCCCAGGAGCTGAGTGACAGTCCGACAACAATGGCAGCCCTATCACGGTACCCGCCCAGAGCCGGGGGCGGGGCCTCCCATTCACAGTCTCGGATGCCCACACCCCTGCAGAGCCTCGGCCTGAGCAGGTATCACTTCCAGTTTACAAGAGCAGTGGAGGGGCGTGGAGGGGGAGACCCAACATCTACTCGGTGCTGCTTGTCAACAATCTCTCCCGACCCCACGGCACCTTGTGAAGGAGGAATCAGCACCTCCGCTCCACAGATGAGAAGCCCGAGGATTAGGGAGGAGGCAGGACTCGTCCCCTTCTCCAGCCCCCACCCAAGTCACCTGGCCAGACAGCATACTGATCTCATGATGTGCCGTCAGAGATCCCGAGCCACACAGCTAGTCAGTGGCGGAGCTGGGCCTAGAACCTGGGTCCTGACTCCTGGCCCCGAGCTCACTGAAGATGGGGGAGCAGCTTTAGCGGTTGGGGACCTCATGGAGTCTGGGGGCACTGAGCTGGCAGGGCGGCCAGCACCTGCTCTCCCCAATTGCCTCATTTGTGGCTGTGGCACCCGGGAAAGGGGAACAGCCTCTGCGGTGTGGAGAGCCTAAGCCTGGATCTGCTCGTTCCGCCCCGACTCACCCCACCAAGCCCCACCCCACCAAGCTGAGGAGGCCTGGTGTTCCCCAGACCGAGAATAGAGGAACCGCAGCTCGCTCCCCAGCTGCGCAGAGGAGGTGATGCAAGTCAGGTGAGGGCGTGAGGGTGCCAGCTCTGGAGACCCCACCCTGTGGCAGCCAAAGGCCTGGAGTGAACAGAAGTGAGAAATACTCATGCTCACGCAGCTCTGACAACAAAGGCCTGATGGCCCCTGGGGTCGGTTTGCCCCAGGCAGGGGATCTTCAAAGAATTCTGGGGCACGTCAGAGGCAGGAAAGGGCAGCTCCTGAGTGAAACTCGAAGGCCTGGGACTCCTCGGCCACGCCCTCCAACCTGTTTTCAGGGTGGATTTCTAAGCCTCAGCTGCTGGGGCCAAGGGCCCTGTCGGTTCCTGCCTCTCTAGTGACAGTAATTAGCAGAGATTTGTTAAATCCTTGTATGTCCTCAAATACACACTCATGTTATATGTTAGTTTAAGGCGTGCATTTAACAGATACAATAATATGGTAGGTAAAAGCTCTAGATCCGAGCCACAGTTCAGATCCCCATTCTGCCACCTCTGGCTGTGTGACCTTGGGCAAATGACTCTGCCTCTCTGTGCCTTGGTTGTCTCATCTGTAAGAGAGGGATGATAATAACAGTACCTCCTTCACAGGACTGTTGTGATACTTAAATGAGTTAATGTAGGTAAAGTGCTCAGAAGAGGACTGTGCACACAGCAAGTGACCACTACATGTTAGCAGTTATTATATGTACAATTGTCTCTTACAAAATACAGGCTCAAAAACTTTCCATTGATTCCTACCTCCTCAAAAACAAAACTCCTTAGCTTGGCATTCAAGGACCTCCCCAACTGGCCTAAACCTCTCTAGGCTCACCCTACACCTAGCCCTCCGGTGTGTGGCCGTCACCGGGACCCCAGACCTGGCTCTGTAGGTGCTGAGCGTCCAACGGGAGTTCAGGAAGTCCTCGAGGCTTGCCTGGCCCTGTGCTGATGGCTGAGGGGTAGTCCTGCGTAAGACTCGGTCATCACCTCAAGGGACCTGCACCCGACACCTCCTCTCCCAAGACTGTGAGCTCTGCCCCACCTGTGGCCTACCTCCTCCTCCAGGAGGCCCTCCCCTCCTCCCCAGTCTGAAGGAACTGTGCCCTGCCTGCTGGTGGGGCCATGGCATAGCACCTGGATTACACTCAGGCCTTCATCCAAGTGTCTTCACCCCTGGGACGGAGAGGACCTGGGGGGTGGGCCACAGTCACCTTATCATCCTCCCTCCCTGGTGCCCAGCGCAGACCCTGGCGGTACACAGGTAACTGGCTCCTTCGTATCCCAGGTTTTCACTGGGGTACAGGCATCTGCAACTTCCTAAAGAAACAGAATTTAGTTGCTTCATGACAATTGAGTAAGATTCAAATAGGACCACTGTGGCCAAGGGGCAAGATAGTAAAAATATGGCCATCACTCCTGAAGATGACACCATGTGACATCTGTTACTATTATGACATTATCCATTGCATTGCTCAGTGTGAAATTTCCATGTGATTAATTTATTTTTAAATTTACCACAAAGTTCTTGAAAAAGGGAACTTCTTTGCTTTCTGAGAATAGGAACCACAGGAATCAGCCTGTATCCCTTTCTTCC